GGTCCCCAAACTTGTGGCAACTTTAAGACTTGTGGACTTCAACTCCCAGTATTCCTCAGATAGCATGGGTGTTGTGCTGGCTGAGGAATTCTGGGAGTTGAAGTCCACAAGTCTTAAAGTGGCCAAGTTTGGGGACCCCTGCTCTACAGGTAGCATCCCAATACACTAAGTAGGTTCAGTCCAAGAGTCAGGGGTGGAGGGTTTTTTTTCTACCTCCCCACCTCCCCCACCCACCCCCGGTCCACAAAAGGCCGAAAAACCACTACAGGCGGGCTGCGGGTGGGGGGGGGGAGGCTTTCGCCACCCAGCTGAAGGGCCTTGGGAGCAACGCCTTTTCCGAATGCAGCAGTTCTGCCCAACGGGCACCCGGGGGACGGGACGGGACCCCGGCGGGGCGAAAGCCTGGCTCCGTCTGCTTCCCGCCGGTGTCCCAAGAAACCAGGAAGTGCGAGCCCGCCCGGCTTCCTCCCCAACAAGCGGAAGGGTCCTGGGCTGGACGCGTCTCCGAGCCGAGGGCAGCGCCCGTCCAAGAAGGAGAAGCGCTTCTCCACCACCACCACCACCCCCCGCACCCAGCCCCGCACGGCGGGAGCGAAGGAGAAGGCAACGGCGGCGACGGCTGCCGGGCAAGGGACCGCCCGTTCCTCACCCCCCACCCCGCCTGGCTGCACGGGAAGGGCAGGGGGCGAGGCTACGAGAAAGACGCGCAGGAGCCCGGCACCCACCCACCCCGCCTGACGCGGCTACCTTGGCCCCCAGGAGCAACCCCGGCGGTTGCTGGAGCAGCAGCGGCCCCGACTTCACCGGGGGGTCCATTCGGAAGGTGGGCAAAGACGGCGACGGAGGGGAAAGCGGAGCCACTCCAGAATCCGTCGGAAGGAGGGCGGGCTCCTCGAAGGCGCGTCACGCGCTCCGCCTCCCTCCCTGGCTGCGGGCCGCCCGCCCGAGAGGGCTGTGCGCGAGGCCGCCGGGGTGGGGGGAGAAGTGGCGGAAGATAAGGCGCGGCTCCGAGCACGTGCAGAGCGCCAAGTCCCGCTGGAAGGAAGCGGTTTGGCCCCCGAGGGGTGGTTCCCGCACGCGCTCCTTCGGGAAGCAGGCAGGCGGCTGCCCTGGCCGGCCGTTCTGAACAATGCCCCCCCCCCCCCCCCCCCCCGAGGCCACAAGCTCCTTTGGGCAAGGGTCCTTCAAACTGGGCGACTTTAAGACTTGTGGATTTCAACTCCCAGAATTCCCCAGCCAGCATAGCTGCCTTCCTTCAAAAAATCAAAACAACAACCCTGCATTAAGAGGAAGGGAAGGAAGGAAGCCTTTTGGTCTCACTGTTCTTCCATCTTTTTATGGATTCACTAGCAGAGAGACATCCAAAAGAGAGGATCTATGTTCTCCTGAGGCTGCTGGCAGAAGTCCTGCAATATGCGAAGTTTTGCCGGCTCCAGGAGGCCTGTCTCGACCCAAGGCCTGGGGAACAGGCCATGCTTAACTAAAGCTTGGAAGTGGGCAAGGTGAGGGAGACCCAGGTTTCCAAAGGGCCGGGTGTTCTGACCAAGGCTTCCTGAGACAGTAACAATGACACGCTCTTCCCCAAAACTTTGTTTTTATTTCAACGGCTGTGAACTATATGCATTCACAGCCCATAATGAGTCCCAAGCAGTTTATGAATAGTCCCACAGAAGTCTGCCACAGTCTTTCGGGATAAGGCTGATAAGCACCCACCTTTATCTCCCTGGAAATGCTGCCAACAACTAAATTGCCAATTAGCTGTACAAGGCCAAATGGAGCACAAGGTCAGCACAGAGCTTCAGATTTTAAACCAACCAGAATGAACAAAGTTGCTTCCTGCAAAGGCTCATGTCCCTTTGCTCCTCCTTTGTGTGTTATGGGAGGGACCAATCTGGCCTTGGCCCCATCACTGTGTCAGGCGCAGATTCCGAATCCTCCCCAGACCCCATGACTGGCCCATGTTTCTCCCCACTGTCCAACTCTGCTGCCAGCTCCTCAGGCTGCCGGCGGACCATAACACTGGGATCCCACTGAGTGATAATGCTTAGCCACCTTTGTTGAGGTGCATAGGATCGGCACAGGAGCTGGGGGTCTCTCAGCTCGGTCCAGAATCCATGAAGTGTTTTTGTGTTGAGCAGCTCAAATTGTGCCTTGAAGCCAAGTGACAACTAATGCAGCTCCCATGGAAGGCTGGGATTTGGCCATCGCTGCTCATGCCCCAGATTCTGCACCAGCTGCAGCTTCCGAGAGGTTTTCAGGGGCAGCTCCACATACAACACATTGCAGCACTTACGAGGTAATCAAAGGCATGAATGGAAGCCCCATGGCTGCACCTGTGCCAAGGCCTTCTTGCTCCTTGAGTGGAAGCAGGGAGTCCAGCCAGATTGCACAACAGCCCCAGACAAGGCTGTCCAACCTGGAGGGCCAAGGATGGGGAGGGACCAGAGGTGGTATTCAGCAGGTTCTGACCAGTTCTGGAGAATCAGTAGCGGAAATTTTGAGTAGTTCGGAGAACCAGCAAATCCCACCTTTGACTGGCCCCGCCAACCCCATCTATTCTCTACCTCCTGAGTCCCAGCTGATTGGCTGCGTCTTCTTTGGTTGCCCTGCACAGGAGAACGGAGCTGGAAAGCAGGTTAGTGGGGTCGGGAGGGAAGGGGGATTTTGCAGTATCCTTCCTCTGCCACGCCCACCAAGCCACGCCCACCAAGCCACGCCCACAGAACCGGTAGTAAAAAAAATTGAATCCCACCACTGGTAGTGACCCCAGAGGCTGCACCTCCCCATTCAGGCCTCACGGCTTCCTGTCAAGGGGCAGGACTTGAGCAACATCTCTTGCTCAGCCAAGGTTGACGTGAACAACTGACTATCATCAGTGTCCTGTGATGTCAGATGAGCTGTAGCTGATGGTCTCCCCAGGGATTTCATGCTAAGTAGGAGGTGCAGCAGCATCGGTCCCAAGGCATCCCAAAAATCCATCTCTCCCCTTCTCCCCCACCCCCAATACCAAGTGGAAACAGCCACAGAGGAAAGAGAACCATTACAAGGCTATGCCCCACTGCTACATCTGCCCAGAAGGTCGGTTGCTAAAAAGCCACAACCAGGAGGGAAGCACCAGCGCGGTCCTGGCTCTGCCAAAAGTAGTCAGTAGTAATAGTTATAGTAATAATAATAATACTTTATTGTCATTGTATGAATATACACAGTTTTTATTTATTTATTTTATTTTGTGATGCGATTATTAGATAACAGGTATAAGTATAAACATAGTTATGAATACATGAAATGGATACGAATAAGAAAAAAAAGAAACAGTAGGACAGGGACAGTAGGCACATTGGTGCGCTTATGCACGCCCCCTACCGACCTCTTAGGAAAGGGGTGAGGTCAATTGTAGACAGTCTAAGGTTAAAGTTTTTGGGGTTTGGGGAAGAAACCAGAGTCAGGTAGAGTATTCCAGACATTGACCACTCTGTTACTGAAGTTGTATTTCCTGCAATCAAGTTTGGTGCGGTTAACCTTGAGTTTGTATCTATCTCTTGTATTGTTATGGTTGAAGCTGAAGTATTCATTGACAGGTGGGACGTTGCAATATATAATTTTATGTATTATACTTAGATCGAACCGAAGGTGGCGTAATTCTAGGTTGTCTGGGTCTAAAATTTCAAGTCTGGTGGCATAAGGTATTCTGCCATGAGTAGAGGACTGGAGAACTCTTCTTGTGAAATATTTCTGGATTTTCTCAATTGTATTAATATCAGATATGTAATGCGGGTTCCAGGCTGATGAGCTGTATTCGAGTATTGGTCTACCAAATGTTTTGTATGCTCTGGTTAGTAGTGTGATATTACCAGAGAAAAAGCTACATAGGATTAGGTTAATAACTCTTAATGCCTTTTTGGCTAGGTAGTTACAGTGGGCTCTAGCACTTAGATCATTAGAGATGAGTATTCCAAGGTCCTTTACACAGCATGGATCATCAACAAGGTCTTGACTATTCAGCTTGTATTTTATTTTCTGATTTTTTTCCGGAGGGAGCCCCACGGGGTTAGTTTTCCGGTTGGGTGCAAAAAAAGGACTCTGCGAAGCCCCCAAGCGCAGAGCCCTGAGATGCTCTGCGGCCCGTGGGGGGGAGGGAGGGCAGTGGGGGCGAGCGGCAGAAGATCCGCCCGCCGCTGCTTGTCGTGCAGCCCTGGCGAAACGGCGGCTCCCCAGCCCTCCTGGCGCCCTCGACCTCGTTCGGGGCCGGCTGCGGTCGGAAAGTCCCGCCGCTCCCAAAAAAACGCGTCCCGCCCTGGACTGGACCCGCCGCTCACTGGACGCCCCCGGCCAGGCCCCCGTCAGGACGGGGCGGGGTGATGAAGAGGCCAGCCGGGGCGGCCCTTGTCTCGGCCTGCCAGCGGCGGACGGAGCGGTTGGACGGAGCAGGTCAGCCGAGGGAGATTCCTTGGGGCGCGCGGCGGGAGGGCAGGGCAAGGCAGGGGAGTCGGGTCTCTCGTCCCGGGGACGAAGCGGTGTGAGGCGCGCGGGCTCTTCTGGCTTCTCGGCTGCCGGGCGGGCGCGGCGAAGAGAGGCCGGGCAGCTCCGCCTCGGCTGTAGCTCGGCGGGAAGCTCCGTCGCGAAGGCGGGCGGGGGGTGGTCGCGAGCAAGGGCGCCTCGGGAGGCTTTCGGGCGCTGCTAGTCGGAAGGCGGGAGGCAGAGCGAAGCCGACGGTCCTTCCCGCCGAGCTTCGGCGTTGGGTTGAGGGCGGGGGAAGGGGGCTTCAAAGCTGCACGCTGGGGTCCGCTCCGAAACGCCCCCTCCTCCGCCGGAATAAAGGACCTCCTCAGCGATAGACTGCTCCGGAGCGGAGAGGTTCCAGTTCAGCAACTTGTTCCTTGCAGGCGCCCGGTCATCTGGTTCGGCGAGGCGAGCCTGGGGGGGGGGCGCTCCGGCCAAGGCCAGCTGACTGAGCGAAAGAAAGGGGCGATGGGGAGAGCGGCCGCAAGGAGCACCCTCCAAACCCCACCGCACGGAGCGGGCGACCCCCCGCCCCATCTTATTTCGGGAGGGAGCTTCCCTGAGCCTGCGGTGCCAAAGCGACCGAGGCTGTGGAAAGGGCTCCAGCTGCCCCCTCCTCCCTCCCACCCTTGAGGACGCTCTGGAAGGGCTGTGAGCTCGCCCGACTGCCTGGCCGGGGCTTTAGTCCTCCTACTACTACTAAGGCAGAGGTCTCCAAATTTGGCCACTTTAAGACAAGAGAATTCTGGGAGTTGAAGTCCACAAGTCTTAAAGTGGCCAAGTTTGGGGACCCCAACTTTAGGGCCACAACATGGCTGCCGTGCTGGCTGGGGAATTCTGGGAGTTGAAGTCCACAGATCTTAAAAGATGCCAAGTTTGGAGACCTCTGTCCTCAGGGCTCCAGGCTCTCTCTTTGCGGAGCCCATCCCCTCCTCCATTTGGTCCCATCCGGCTTGGCAGCCCTTTTCAGTTGGTCTCTGGTCTCCCTGGCAGCCATGCGAGGAGGGGGGGGGATGAGGAACCGGGTGCCAGGCTGTAGTGCTGGGCTTAATTCTCCCTTGTCCAGAGGCTGGTTGTGTGTTAGGAAACGGGGCCCTCTTTAAAGTGCCACCCAGCTGCTGTCTGAAGGCATCCACTGAGGGGGAACTTGGCATCTTTTCTCTCGATAGCCTGTTAATGTGCCCGACTGTGTCCTTCTGAATGGGCAAAGGACTCCAGGCAGAAGGAACAACCCTTCCCACAATCTGGACTCTTCTTCTCTATCTCTCTCTATATAAAAACGAAATACCACTCAGGTGTCATCAAAAAAATCTCCAGAACCGTAAAGCCTACAAACTTGAAATTTGTCACATACGTTCCTCTTGGCTTCTAGGTGCTCGCTAAGAAAGGACCAGAAAAAATGACCATCAGAGCATTAGTATTTTGCATATTATTAACACTCTTTGATGCTAAGGAGTTCTACTCCCCCTCCCCACTGGAAAAGGAATCTGTTCCAAAGGCAAAACACAAGCAGAGGAGTTTCAGTTTCGGGTTTTAATTTCACAGCACCAAGCAGCTTTAGTACAGAACAGTTGAGCTAAGCCACGCCCAGGCTCCTTGCTGTCTCCTTGCTCACACAGCACTGTTTCAGTTTCCAAACAGCCCTCAATTCTCTCACACACTGACAGGATACTAGCCAAATGAATATCGATGGATGCTGGTAGGCAGAGGCAGAATTTTTTCCCCCTTATATTCCTCCCCCAAAACTAGGTCCAACCACATAGTTTCATAGTGAAGCACATTTATGGAGCTAGTTTGTAATGTGGTGACTAAAACTGGACGCGATTATTCCAGGTGTGGGACAGACTCTGCTCTGTCCTTGTAACCCATTGGCCCTTTTAGCAACTGTGACCTATTTCTGAGTCAGGCTCAGCTTGAGGGCACCAGATTCCCCTTTGCCAAATTAAAGCCTCCCCGGTCCAACACTTGTGAATTTCATTTTTCCCCGTCCAGAACTTCACATTTCTCCCCGCTAAAAAAATTCATTTCAGCTCAACCTTTGTGGATATTTTTGGAATCTTCTACTAGCGTAGAGATTAAGCGACCAAGTCTGTGGGTTCCTGCCCGTATTGGAAGGTGGGGCTGGCATTTGCTCGCCTGCTGGCGCTTTGCCAGTTTTCCTCAAGGGCCTTACAGAGAAGTTTTGTGATCCCCTCTGCTTAGTTCATAGGCTAGGATGTAATTCGCTGGGACTCGGGTTGGTTTAAATTCACCAAGTTCTCTGTTATCCTGACCTGGACCAGTCTGGAGGACCAGCCTGGACTCCAACTAGCTACCTAGGAGTCAAGGGCGGCTGCCTGCTCCCCTGCCCCTTCAGCCCCTCCTGTGCCCAGCGGGATTCCTTTTATTCCTAACCCTAACTCACGATGGGTCGGACACGACTTTGCAACTAACAACAACAAAACCCTAACTCTTAACCTTTTTCTAGCTGTTCTCATTTTGAGTTTTTCCCCCACAAGCCTCCACTCGCTCCCTAGGCCAGGAGACCCATTCCCCACTCCCAGTTTCCCATACAGGTGTCCTTAGACCTACCTTCCTCCTCGGGGCATTTCTCCATCTGCCCCCTTTGTTGGTTCTCCTGGAAACTCTTGGCGCACCGCACTCCCCCTCCTGCCAACCCTCGCGCCTCTCCTGGGTTTGCAGCCCCGAAGTCCCCGTCCAAGGAGAGTGCTGGTCTCCAGGACTTAATTGCTCAATCCACAACAGATGCTCCGCATCTAAGAGGCCCCTCCTGAGCATCCGGTTGATCTGGGGGGGGGGGGGATGCTTCTGCCTGGCCTTTGCCAGAGTTCATGGATCCAAAGTTCCCTATGTTTGCCACTGATGCACAACCTATCCTGTTTGAACATTTTTAAAAATTTGGCGTGCGCTTTCTATCAGAATTTTTAATTCCTCTCAAAGCTTTGGAACGAATCTAGCCTTCTGTTTTCAGTTTTGGATTTCCTTTTAACCCGGAGATTCCTGCTGGGGGCGGGGGGGGGGGGGGCTTGCTGGCCAAATTCCGGTATGTTTCAGTTGTGTTGGGAGTGTAGAAATTCAGAGTGGGAAGACCCTCAATCCAGCCTCCTGCCTAGGGCAGCACATCCACCGAAGCCCATCACTGGCAGTGACCCATTCCAAAAGGAGTGGACAGTTGGTGATGGAGCTCAGGCTGCCTTAGGGCTCTGGATAACGGCCAGAGGAGGGTAATTTGGCTTCCATGCATTGCAACTTCAAGCCTGCCAGGGATGGTGGCATGCTGGCAGAAACTCAGCTAGACACAAATTGGACTCCCAGGTTCACCAAAGACCATCAATATCACCCCACTGAAAGATTTTCCAGGTATTCCAATTGTGCCCCGTTTTGCAAATGTTTGCATGCATTTGTCACCCGCTGCTGACTCTCCCGTAAGACGGCTCTTCCCCACTCAGCTTGTAAATCAGATGCAGGATTTGTGTGTTATGGTTTTACTGTTTTATGATTGTTTAATTTATTGGCTTTATTGTTGCTGTGAGCTGCCCCAGCTGATGCTTGACGGGAGCCATATAAATCTTTTAAATAAAAATAAATAAATTGGCAGCGGTGACCACAGCCACGGAAGCAGCTTCCTCTAAATCACAGCCCTGCCATTTCCTCTCGCTGCCCTAGAGTCCAATCTGCCTCTTCCAGCCACCCGGCAGCTCAGGGCTCCATTTCCCCTCACACCCACCCACAGCAGGACTCAGGGCAGTGCAAGTGGCACCCTTTGAAATCTGGGCATGAACGAGGCTCTGGCAATTCAGAACTCCACTTGGCACGCCTGTCACTCTTCAGACATGCTCTCTGGGCATTTCACAAGTGGACCTAATGAACCCAATGGGAAGATCTCCCCCTTCTCCCCATTCCTAGATGTTACTCCAGTGGCTTTCCTAATAAGGGGGAGGGGGCGACGGGCAAACCATGGACAAAGAGAATCCAACTCCCCAGGGGAGGCGCCAGGGCAGGCAGGAGCTCCCCTCTGCAAGGAATGCACTCCTTAGCCAGGCTTTTGCTGTAGCCAGACAGCAGCAGACGGGAGCAATTCCAGGGATGGGATTCTACCGGTTCGGACCGGTTCTATAGAACCGGTTGTTATGATTCTGCACAATTCAGAGAACTGGCAAATTGTGCCCCTGGCTGGCCCCGCCCCCCTCCACCCACCCCTCCTCTCCCCTCTCTGCCTTATCGCATGCCCAACATCGCTAACTGCATCCTTCCCTGCCCAGTCACTCCTTAAGGTATTTTCCCCGTCCCAACGATCAGCTGTGCCGGGATTCCCTTTGCTTACTGCTTCGCCCAGGAGGCTTCCCTAAAACAGGAGGCGCCAAAAAAAGAAGAAGCCACGCCCACCCAGTCACATGACCGTGCCCACCTAGCCACACCCACAAAACCGGTTGTTACAAACTTTGGATCCCACCCCTGAGCGATTCAGGCCGAGAACGGAGCAATACAGTAGAACCTCTGCTCCCGAATGCTTCTGAACACGACCAAATCGGGTTCCGACCCCAAAAAAATCCACAACATTTTTTGACTCTATGTCACGAAGACATACTCGGGTGGCGATCAAACCTGACCCCTGGCCCAGAAATTCCCAAAGGCGAAATATTAAGACAATGAAGAAATCGCCAAAGTTATGGAATGAATGATGGTCGTGACCACAGGTTCTATTATAAAGGCGAAAGTGCAACACCGTCCAGCGATGGCTCCTGTGCCTTGTGCCCTGAGCCCCCCAGCCCTTCCCTCAGTGGAGCTGTGTCCAGAGCGTCCTGGCCGAGGGAGGAGAAGGTGGCAAGTCGGAGAGGGCTCTGAAACCAGGCACCAAGCAAGGCTGGGCAGGGCGGTCACCACATAAAGGGCAAACTATGCCCTGCTTCAAAGCCTCATTTCAGGGTAACCCAGTCAGACGAGTGGCTTCTGGGCGGTGGCATTGCCAGCCGAGTGGTCAGCTGTTTCCCTTCGCCTGGTCACTGGCCAGCTTCCCTGAGCAGCCCCTCGGGCTCCCCCCACTTGTTCATGCGCCCCATCTGCAGAGGAACAGGGCTACAGGTAGGGAGGGGGCTGCAGTGGGACCCCTACCCAATAAAAACAAGGCACTTGGGCTATCCCGGAGCCAATATGGCATCAAGATTGACCACTCCACATCTAAAAGCAGTGCCCAATGGGGGCAAGGGGGGGGTTGCACCACAGGAGGAAGGGATGGAGGGCCAGAGGAGGCAGCCATCACAGGAGCCTCCAGGGACCATCAGCGACGGGGAGGATTTGCTGCCCTGCTATCCGGGGGAGACCCTGGCTTCTGCAATCTCAGAGCCAGAAACAAGATGGCCGCAGCCCCTGGCAAGGCAACAAGAGTTAACGGATGCCCCCAAAGGATCATAATGGCTGGCCAGCCTTCCTTCCCAGCAGAGAAGGTCAAGCAAGAGTGGGAGCTGGCTCCCCATTTGAGGCCTTGTGCCAGTGGCAGGATTGGAACCAGACTCCCCTAGGACAGGCCTGGGAGTGGGGGGGACTTCAAAGGTGGGGCTGTGCCAAAAAAGACATACTCCCTGAGGCACCGAACTCTGGCGCAGGATGACCCGAGAATATACCGCTGAGGTGGGGCTGCTCCCAGAAGGGAGGGAGGCTCGGTTCTCCACATTCCAGAAGGAAGAGAGCCGTCCTGGCCAGAGAGAACTCTGGTCACCATCAAAGCAGGGGGGGGGGAAGGAGTTCCGTGGCTGCCCTACAGCCGGTCTTGGCATTTAGAGAATGACCAAGCAGCTGTCTCAGACGGGACGGGGAGAGAGCCAGCTTGAAGTTTTCCAATAGGCAGTACTGGGAAAATGACCAAATTGTTTCCAGAAAGACTTGGTCAATCCAACTGAAAGCTGCCTTGAGAACTTCCCACCCACCCTCGTTCCCCCTTGGAGCAGGCCAGGAACCTGCCTGCCAGGCGTGCCACCCCTTTTCTCTCCTGGCCCGGCTGCTGAAGAACCAACCCATGAGCTGCTGAGGGACTGGGATTCAGCTGGACCAGCCGATGCTGCCCTGGCCTTTTTAGTGTCCCCAAATCAAAACACAACTTTGTCTCTCCAGAAAAGAAATGCCAGGACGCTTCAGCAGCAGCTGGGTAATCCTTTCTCACCTGGCACGTCCACTGCTCAGTTGGGGTGGGGGAGGTCAAAAGAAGAGGAGGGAGGGGCAATGCCCAGGTCAGGAGGAGGAGGACAGAGGGAGCTGCCCTGGCTTGACCCCTGGGGCTGCTCAGTTGGCTCACTATGACAGACAGGGCCTTGTTCTCATCTCGCCAATGCCCCTGCTTCTTGGGGAAGGGGCTGCCTGCCCTAATGGAAAAGTCTCCAAGGACGTTGCTTGAAATGCACAAGGGTGAAACCAACCAAAATCCTCCCCGTGCTGCTGTGTGCCCAGCAGTAACTTCTGCGGTCAGGGATGAGGAATGTTCCTCACGCAAGCTGGGGCTGCCTTTCTGTCCTGCAGAGCTGAGCTGAGCTGGAGGGAAGCAGGCAGAGGTCAAAGAGGAGGAGGCAAGGGCGATGCCCAAGTCAGGAGGACGAGGGGTGGGGGGTGTCTGCCTGTGAGTTTTGCCAATCTGAAACACTGGCATCCTCAAGACTGGGTGCCTTCCGAGGGCAGGGGCCTCTCAGCTCCAGCCACCTGCCCCAAGAGTTCTGAGCAGCAGTGGGATCCTACCTATCCCACTACCGGTTCGGTGATCGTGATCATGCACACCTAATGTGTGCCCGCAGCTTTCCACACCAGCTGAGACCTGCAGTGCCAATCAGATGAGAGGCTAAAGAAAAAAAGTGCGGGTGGGGTGGGGTGGGAGGGCCAATCCTGCACTTTTCTCTTCTTTCTCCTCTCAGCTGATCGTTGGAGGCTTTTTTTACTATCTGCTGAACGGGTAGCAATTTTTGCTACCGGTTTGATGAAACCGGTCCAAACCGGTAGCATACCACCACTGGCTCCGACTGGTTCTTGCTGCTGCTGCTGCTGCTGCATGGAAGGCTAGGCCAAGAGACCTGGGCAGACATCCATGCTGTCAGCCAGCAGTGGCCATTAATCTCCTACACCACACAGGCCCTGACCCGAGGAAGATGCATGTTGTTCAGCGGCCGCTCCTGGGCTTCCTGTGTGGCCCCTGGCTGTTGGTGAGTCTGGCCCTGCCGCCCAGCCGAGCCCCCACCAGGCAGAGTCCACCATCGCCCAACCTTCACTTCCGACTGGCCGGCTATCCCCGTAAGCACAACGAAGGCCGCGTCGAGGTTTTCTACGACCAGGAATGGGGCACCATCTGTGACGACGACTTCACGCTGGCCAACGCCCACATCCTCTGCCGGCATTTGGGGTTTGTGGCTGCCACAGGCTGGACTCACAGTGCGAAATATGGCAAAGGAGTTGGTGAGCATCCCTGGGACAGGGGTGGTGGGCCCTCCCAAGGGCAGACCTGCCCAATTCTGGCCACGGGGGCTGGAGAAGGTGGGTCGTCATAGGATACGAATGCACCATTTCCCCCCAAATCCAGGGATCGGCCCTGAAGCAGGCTGAAAGCCCTACCTGACTTTAAGCATGTGTAAAGCGCCTCCACTGAGCAATGCCATTCCCAAAGGTCCGGCACACGGCTCCCGGATGGCCTCCTGGTTTGTCCCAGTCCTGAGTTCTCTGGTGGTCACTCCACAGGGCGCATCTGGCTGGACAATGTGAGCTGCAGTGGCCATGAGAAGAGCATCACAGAGTGCCAGTCGCGGGGCTGGGGCAACAGTGACTGCTCCCACGAGGAGGACGCGGGTGTTGTCTGCAAGGACGAGCGCATCGCCGGCTTCACTGACTCCAATATGATTGAGGTGAGCTAGGTAGAGACACTGCGGGTCAGAGCAAGGGGCGTAAGAACAATGTAAGGAGCATCGGGCCAATCCAGGGCAGCACTTAGTCAAGTCAATGATGCTGCCTCTGTCATTGTGCCCCAAACAGTTTCAGGGATATGGCTGTCCAGGGAGATCCTGGAAGGCCTTTCAGAGGCCTGTAGGAGGAAGCCACGGCCAGGAGGCTAACAAGTCAGTCCTGTGTGTCTCTGTGTGTGTGGCCAGTTGGGCGTTTGACACAGGCGTGTGTGTATGTGTGAGAGTGTCGGCATGGTCATGGTGGGCGTTTGACACAGGCTCAAGATGCATTCTCCCCTTTCTTTCCACGGTTCTTTTCTATAATGATAGGATAGGATAGGATAGGATAGGATAGGATAGGATAGGATAGAATTCTTTATTGGCCAAGTGTGATTGGACACACAAGGAACTTGTCTTGGTGCAAATACTCTCAGTGTATATAAAAAAAAGGATACATTCGTCCAGTCAAGAATCATAAGGAACAACACTTAATAATAGTCATAGGGCTATGGACCTTTTGGCAAAGAGTTCCTTCTCCACTCCCCTAAATATAGCAGCTCTTTAACTATTAGGGGAGGGCGGAGGAGAGAAAGTGGAGCCCAGGGCCATGAGGCTAAGCACACCGAAGAAAGGCCTGTGCAGGAGCGTAGACTCCCCTCCCGAGGGGACCTGGCAGAGAAGACAGAGAGAAAATCTCATCCAACCACTCTGGCTGGACAGACTGGACAAGCCCTCAGGAGTGGACGCGCTAACCTGAGCGACCTCTTCTCCCCCTCTCTAGGCAGAGCAGAACCAGGTGGAAGAGGTACGCCTGCGCCCAGTGGTGTCTCAGGCCAAGCGCCCTCTGCCCGTCACGGAGGGCATTGTGGAAGTCCGCCACAAGAGCAGCTGGGCCCAGATCTGCGACGAGAACTGGGGAAGCCAGGAAAGCCGCGTGGTTTGCGGGATGCTGGGCTTCCCAGCCGAGAGGAAGGCGAACCGCAACTTCTACAAGTGAGCCCGCAGGCTTCCTTTGGTTAGGCTTGGTTCAAGCGGGGCTGTGGGGAGCTTCGAAGGGCGCCACATTCCCCCTTCCCTGTTCTCTGCAGGGGAGGCTGTCCTGAGGGTGACCTTCCCGTGCTGGCTCCCTTGCACCGCTCACCTGCCGCATAGCCACCGGCCTTACTGGAGGACAATGGGAAGAGGGGTCTGCTGAGGAGCCAAGAGAGGCAGCCATTGCCATGGGGCTGCTGACAAAAGCAAAGGAGACCATTCAATCAGTACCACCTCCCCACAGCTTAAAAAAACTGATCACTTCCTGGAACCCCCCCGGGCAGCGTTTCAGTGGGGCTGCCCTGCTAAAGGTCTCTTTTCCCTTTGAGCTTTGCCTGGGAGCTCTGGAGACAGGAAGGGGCTGCCTGGATAAGGGCAGGGACCCATCCCTGAAGGGGCTCCGTTGCCTTCCCTTCTCCGGGCACTTCAAACAAGAACGCCAACCCGCAGGCTGCCCTGGACCCCCTTTCTCCTGACTGGGGTGGCAGATCCAGTTGTGAAAGGGGCAACATCATTCCACAGCATCCCTTGGTGTGTCCCCCCCCCCCAAACAGGCTTCTGGATTTGTGGGTGTAAGGTCCATGGTTGCCTGTCTGGCTCTGCTCACTCCTGGCTGCACGGGCTGCCTCTCTGAGGGATGGGCTCCTGGGTAGCCAAAGGCCTCTTGCCGAGACCCCCCACCCCAAAGGCAAGGTCCAGGGAAGGCCAGACAGCTCTGCTCCCTTTGGGAAAGAAGCGCCCAGGTCGCCCCACCTTAGCTCAGAGGCCTGAACTGGGAGTGGTCCTCCTGACAAGTGGGCAAAGCAGAGGGTTAGCGCTGGAGGATGGGGAGCAGGGTCTGTGATGCTGTCCAGTCTGACCCACTGCTCGGTCAAAACCTCCCGTACGGCGGGCTCTTCAGCCTTTGCTTCAACATCCTGTCCCCTCTCTGTGTTCCCTGGGAACAAACACCAAGAGCGCCCGGAACAAAAAGGCCCCTGGGGGTAGGGGGGAAGGTCGCCATTTTTTTCTGACCTTCTTAAGGTCAACTGGCTTCGGGGGGGGGGAGGGCAAAGCCTAGGCTACGGCCGGGTGATGGTGAACTTGCCTGGTGCCCTTGACATGACATCTGGAGGCATTGCTGGGGGGGGGAAGACACCGGCCAACCCAGAGGGGGCCCTGGGGCCTTTTTTTGCTGCATCTAGAGCCTCTCTAGGCTGAAACGCAACCTGGGCGCTTTTTGAAAAGGAAGCTGCATGAAGGTGCTTCTGGACTGGGACGGCCTTGTAGAAAGGGAGCCGTGTATTTGCTCTCAGGCTAGGTGCAAACACTTCATCATAGTCCTTATCTGACTGAGCAAATCCTTGGAGCCGTGTTCATGCACAGGAGCCCAAAACCTGGAGGTGTCCGGAAGCATCTTTTCCGACCAGCCAGTTTTATTCAAAGGTAGAAGCTTTTTCGGGAGCTGCGACAGAAGCCCTTCCTGGAGGCTTCTGCGGTCATTTGAAGAGGTGCCCCCGCTTTGTCCCTAGGCCAGAACTTGTGCCGAGGCATTTCTCTCCATGCAGAAGCACAGCCCGGGAGGCCCCCGAGGCGGCCATCTGGCAGCCGCCTTAAAACAGAGCGCCAGTGTGCTCTCTCTCGCCCAGGGAAGTTAGACCGCTGACTCACTGGCGAGGACGAGGGCCTCCATCCTCCTTGGCGGGGGAGAGGGGCTCTTTTGCTGCCTGTCCTAGAGGGCTGCAAAGGAGACCCGTCCTCTGCCCTTCCCTCTCCCTGTGCAAAGCAAGGCAACTGGCCAAAGCATTAGCGGCTTTCCAGGAAATCCCGGTTGTCCGAAGAGCTGAGAAACTGGAGACCCAGGTCACGTTCCAGAAAACGGCCTATTTTGCCGCATTCGACAGGCCGCTCTGGGGCTACCGGTGGCTGCCACTTAAGTGGCTTGAATCCGTGCATCCGTTCACAAACTCCTTCCACCCACCCGGGTCTGCCTACTGGAGCAGCACTTTGGCAGCCAGGCCAAGTTGTTGGCTTTCTGCATGACGATCATGCAGCATGCTGGGAACTGGCAGCCAGATTTTTGGCCAGAGCCATGCAGGTTGCACAAGGTGCCCCACTACCCTGATGGCAACTGCGGGCAATGACCTTTTGCAAAGGAGTCAAGATAAGCAACTTGTTTGCCCTCCTTGGAGCTCCCAAAGCTTGTGAGCAGCCCCTCTGGAAGCAGCACCATGGCCTCACACACCAGAGCCACCGGGTGTGGCATTTCCTGGGCGTGGAGGGCAGGGGCGCCTGGGTTTCAGTCTCACCACGCCGGCCAGCTCCAGTCCAGCAGGGCGATTCTGCATGTGGCCAAGAGCTGATGTGATGGGCACTTGTGAGAGAACGGCAGTGTTTCCGTTTTCCTGGGGTTGCCAAGCCCAACGCCAAGGAAACGAGCAGGTGGTTTGTAGGGCAATGACGGGCAACTAGGCCTGAGCAGATGAGCACTTTGTGGGTGCCAGCAGGACTTTTCCCCATCTGTAGAAAGAGCCTGCCTGCTCTCCATCCCCCGTGGATAATTGGGGGGGGGGGGCGGGAGTCAGAAACCAAGGGGTCTGTTTGAAATTGCATGGATCACGCCACCCTTTGGTCTTCTCCTGCAGGCTGTACCTGCAGCGCCAGCAGCACCAGTTCCGCCTGCGCTCGGTCGCTTGTGCTGGGGACGAGATGCACCTTTCCACCTGCTCCTTTGAGTTCTACAAGGGCAACGTCACGGGGGCTTGCAGAGGCGGCATGCCAGCCGTGGTGAGTTGTGTGCCAGGCCCCCTCTTTGCTGGAGGAAACGCTCAGAAAAAGAGGCGGGGGCAGCAGCCGCAGCGACAGGTGAGCGGAGGATGGGGCTCTCGGCACCCAGGATGCCTCCGGGGAAGGCGGGCTGGGCACAGAAGCCCCTGACGCCGGCCCTCCCTTTGCTCCCCCACAGCAGCGGGTCCGGCTGAAAGGGGGGGCCAAGATTGGCGAGGGCCGGGTGGAGGTGCTCAAGAACGGCGAGTGGGGCACCGTCTGTGACAACCGCTGGAACCTGCTGTCAGCCAGCGTGGTCTGCCGTGAGCTGGGCTTTGGCAGCGCCAAGGAAGCCCTGACAGGAGCACGCATGGGCCAAGGTGAGTGGGGGCACCAGCCACACCATCCTGTGTCACCACCAGCAACTCTGGGATTATTTGAGGCAGGCTTCTCCAGTGGGCTGGTGGGAGGGTCACATTTGCCACTCCAGTGCACTGGGGGGATAACAGCAGCCTTCCCAGCACCCCTGCTAGGAGCTGGGATGTAGCAGTCGAGGGTGGGGCGAGGGGCCAAGGCCGCTGTTGACTTTCCCCTCTCCGGACAGGGATGGGCCAGATCCACCTGAGCGAGGTCCAGTGCCTGGGCTCAGAAAAGTCTCTCTGGAGCTGCCCACACAAGAACATCACCCAGCAGGACTGCAAGCACTCGGAGGATGCGGGCGTCCGCTGCAATGTGCCTTACATGGCCCACGAGACCACGGTTGGCTGGGCAGGGAAGCGGGGGGGGGAGGGTGCAAGCAGCGCCTCTCTTCTGGATAGTCAGCCGGGCAAGGCCTTGAGGGCAGCCCCGGAGGAGCTCCACAGGGTGGGGGCAAGGCACCCATGGCTCCCAAGGGCCTCCCAGCAGCCTTCTTGTAGGTGCCTCGCCCGAGCAGCCCACCCGACCCACTCAGGGGGGAGCCAAAGGACCACTGGCCCTCAGCCTCAGCACCCTGCAGCCGTCTGCATGCGGCTGCGCACAGCCAGATCGAGGGCCTTTTCTTGGAAGGGGCCAGCCTGGCTGCTTCTCTTCTGAAGTGTGGCTGCCACTTGCCTGACCTCTCGCCATCGCACCGCAGGAACTCCTCCCGCTCCCAGCTCTGCAGTGCCCCCTCCCCCCCCCCATTTTACATTTGGACCAGGGTCCCACTCTGGTGCCCCTGTGCCATCCAAAGCTTTTCCCATGCCTCTTCCTTTCAGGGAAGAGGCACAATATGCATGGGTGGCCCCCGTCCTTCCTTCCCTACCCCAAAGGAAGCCTCTGGCAGACTTGGGGGGAGGAAATTGCAATGGGGGCAGGATGGGGTGGGAGGCCTGGGGCAATCTTGGGAAAGCCAGAAAAAGGGGAGGGCAAATCCGGCCGCAGGGAAGCCAATCTTCTACCACTGGCAGCTGGAGGGGCAGCAACAGACTCCCCGGAGAAGCAGCCGGCCTCCCTCCGTAGCTCAGGCCTCTCCCACTCTCTCCCACAGATCCGCCTGAGTGGGGGCCGGAGCCGTTTTGAGGGGCGAGTCGAAGTAGCCTTGGCAGCCAGGGGCAACCGTGCCCGCCAGTGGGGACTGATCTGCGGAGAAGGCTGGGGGACCCTGGAAGCGATGGTGGCCTGCCGCCAGCTGGGCCTGGGCTTCGCCAACCACGGCTTGCAAGTAGGTCCCTGCCGGCAAGGTCAAGCAGACTGGTGCCCCCTGGGGGAGGGATTCACCGATGGGCCTGAGCCAGGGTCCCACACACTGGGGCAGCGACAGCTGGCCTGAAGGGCAGGGCGAGACGGGGCACCTAACGGTTCCCATGTGAAATTAACCAAAGGAGAGCTGGCTGCCCAGGGGCACCGGGGTCTTCGAGGCTGGGGGAGGGGAAGAAGGGTGCTCCCATTGGAGGGCCAGTCAAGCCATGCTCCCACCCCTGGCTGGGCTGACTTGAGCATCCCTCTCGCCTTCCTCCTGCACCGGCAACAAGGAAACCTGGTACTGGGACGGCAGCAACGTGACCGAAATGGTGCTGAGCGGGGTGAGGTGTGCCGGGCATGAGATGACACTGAGCCACTGCCAGCACGACAGCAGAGTTTCCTGCCGGAAGACGGGGACCCGCTTTGCTGCCGGCGTCATCTGCTCCGAGAGTAAGAGGGTTTGGGGTGCCATCTTCCCAATTTTTCTCGCCTGGCCAGAGCCCGGCACCACAGGCCAAACTCCTGTTGGGGCGGGCAGGGGTCCCCGCATGCGCAGTGTTCAGGGAAAGTTGGCCCCCTTCCTTCAATGAAAGGGGGCGCTTCAGCCAAATCACCCTGCCTGATTTGGACCCCTCAGCTCCCCAGGCAGCACCCATCTCCTTCCATCCTCACAGCTGCCTCAGATCTGCTGCTCCATGCGGCACTGGTGCAAGAGACGGCGTACATCGAAGACCGCCCTCTGCACATGCTCTACTGCGCAGCGGAAGAGAACTGCCTGTCCAGCACTGCCCGCAGCGCCAACTGGCCTTACGGACACCGCCGGCTGCTGCGCTTCTCTTCCCAGATCCACAACAACGGCCGGGCCGACTTTCGGCCCAAGGCAGGACGCCACTCCTGGGTCTGGCACGAGTGCCACGGGTGAGGGTGAGGAGCAGCAGCAGCCTGGCAAACAACTCCCCCCTCCCCGCTCCGTTACTCCTACCCAGCACAGGGGCTCTCATGCTCTGGGCCCTCCCATTTCAGGCACTACCACAGCATGGACGTCTTCACGCACTACGACCTCCTGACACTCAACGGGACCAGGGTGGCCGAAGGGCACAAAGCCAGCTTCTGCCTGGAGGACACAGAATGCGAAGAAGGTAGGCGGCCCAGGGTGGGCAGAGCGACCCAGCAGGGCCAGGTATCCAGCCACACCCACCCTCAGAGCTGCAGGCTAGGGTTAGGGCCTGTTCCTTGCCGGCAAGGCCCAATCCAGCCTTCCTTTCTCTCCCTCCTTTGGGCAGAGGTAGGCAAACGCTACGAATGTGCCAACTTTGGGGAGCAGGGCATCACGGTGGGCTGCTGGGACCTGTACAGGCACGATATTGACTGCCAATGGATCGACATAACAGATGTCAAACCTGGGAACTACATCCTGCAGGTGAGGCGGCGGGAACAGGCAGGAGTGGCCTTTTCAGTCAGCCATGCCGGGAATCTGGGCCTGGGGTGCAGGAGGGCATAAATGCGGAGGCTGCCAGGCCTCAGCTACAAAGCCGGTCACGGGGCGGAGTCTCCCAAGGTCAGCACAGCACAATGCAAAGTTGGGCCTTCTGTCCTGCAGCCCAGAGAGATGTGGGGCACCGAGATGGGAAGCCCCATAAAGCTAGCCCTGCTGTGCAGCTGCAGCGACACACACCCCCCCCCATCCCGTGGGCCTCGCTGCCCAGATAACGGTGCCCCTCCCATCTCACCTTCTGCTCCCCAGGTGGTGATCAACCCCAGGAACGAAGTGGCAGAGAGCGATTTCACCAACAACGCCATGAAATGCAGCTGCAAGTATGACGGACACCGGATCTGGGTGCATCGCTGCCACATAGGTACGGCAGGACCCCGGAGTGGTGGTGGGGCTGACCTGGCGGCAGGCTCTTCGGGGGGGGGGCTCTCGTGCCAAAGCAATTCACCCCTTTTTCAAATGCCTTGCCACAGGTGACGCCCTGAGCAACGAGGCCGACGGGACCTCCGAACAATACCCTGGACAGAGCAACAACCAGGTTGTATAGGTGGCAGCTGCCTCCTCCTCCTGGGCACAAGGCGGGCAGGCGCCACCAGTGGCACAGCAGCGGGCAAGAGGGCTCGATACCTCCGTTTCCCCCCCCCCCCCCCGACAATTCAGCAGTTGTCTTGCCATGAGGCGGGAGTGACTCCTCCTGGGCAGCTGCAAGGTGCTACCCGTCCCAACGGCTCAGCCCGACCAGACTTCTGCTCCACGGCTCTCCCTCCCTGGCATTCTTCCCAGACGACAGTTCCTTCTCCGACCACAAGAGGCGCTGCAGGCATCCCAAGACAGCTGCTCCTGCATCTAAGCTGGGAAGGGGCGGGTTGCTGCTCAGCCACGCCACCTTTCTCTGGGGCTTCAGCACTGCCTGTGTTGGGGCCGGCCTGGGCCCTCCTATATAAAGTTAATTGTCTGTGTCCCCAGGTTTGTCCTGACTCAGTGGTCTGGGAGAGGGAGGAGGCCATTGCTGCCTTGGCGTTTCCTCCATCCTGCCCCCAGGCCTGTGCAGCAAGAATGGGGCAGAGCCCTGTGGAACAGGCGTTTCCCAGCTGCCGCGGGGGGCTCTCTGCAGGGTGATTATGGGGGAGAACAGCAGCGCTGTCTCGCGAACTGTCTCACACACTCACGCACCCCGCTGAATTACTGAAAGATCCACAGCAGAGGCCTCCAAACTTGGCAAGTTTTAAGACTTGTGGACTTCAACTCCCAGAATTCCTCAGCTGGCTGAGGAATTATGAGAGTTGGAGTCCACAAGTCTTAAAGTTGCCAGATTTGGGGACCCCCGATCCACAGGAACCTAAGGTGAGAGTCAGCACCGCAGAAAAGCCTCTGCAAAAGCTGCCCCTCCTTCCCTCCGTCTGGCTTAGCCAAGGCAGAAATGCTCCAGTGCAGGATTTGGAAGGCAAGTCTTAACCAGGAGAGGCACGGGACTTCCCCGCTCCCAAGGCCCAAGATCCATCCACTCTAGCTTCCCACAGCTCAGAGGACTCCCCACGCCAGAAGGGCACAGCAGCTCCTTTCCCCCTAACAGCACCCAGCCGAAGGGAGACGCAGTCCGAGGCCTTATAAGGAACAGTGTCGGATGGAAGACAGAAAAGCCGCCATCTTGAAAAATATAATTTTGACTTTTCAGCCACGCACTCCCAATCCTTACATCAGGCTTCCCACAGTTCACAGCTGCCACAACTGCTGGACTCCAGTTCCCGACATCCCCAGCCTGGAGGCGGTCTCTCTGCGGATGGGGATAGGCTGGCATTAAGTACGACGCCTGTTTCATCCCAGAGCTGCTGCTGCTGCTCTCCGTTGAGAATCCCCAGCTTCTCTTTTCTTTCAGAGCGCACAGAAAACGGGTCGGGGGTTCCCCTCGCAAGCAGGGCAAAAATCACCTCCTCAAGGATGTGTCCCACAGGGTTCCAGATTACAGGGCTTAAGAGCACCTCATAGGGAGTGCCTGCCCCCCCCCCCCTCCGAGGGACAGGCTGGGCAAGATGGCAGTCGAGGGAAAGATCCCGCTTGCCAGGAATGGCGTAAGTGCCTTCAGGGTCCCTTTTCAGTCTAAAGGCCATTCTAAAGGCAGGTTCTCCACTAAAGGCTCCCGGAGACAGCGGCCCCTACCCCTTCTCCAGAGGAACAAAAGGCCCTGTGCCACACACCAGCCGGGTCCCAGCCATTTTCCTGGCCAAGGCCACGGGATCAGCGGCTCTTGACTCAACGGAAAGAGCCTTTGGGATCTGAGGAAGGGAGGTGGGGGAGGGCTGTGTCCTCCTGTGAGCCCCCCTACTCTGTGACTTCTGGGGTGATGGTCAGCAGGAGCACCTCGTAGCCGCGGTGGACCTGCAGGGTCAGGCGGCTCTGGGTCCTCACGGCTTCGTAGATATCTTCTGCCCGCCGGGATGTCTTCCCGCTGATCTCGGTGACCACGTCCCCTGCTTTTAAGCCCGCCCTGTGAGGAGGGAAGAAGAGACGACCAGGTGGTACCTGCCTGGTAGGAGGAGACCCCCTCCCCCCCCGGACCCCCCCCCCGCCCCCAGCCCGGCACTCACTGATGAGCGGGGGAGCCCACGATGACCTTGTGGATAAGGACCCCATAGGAGACATCAGGGAAGGATGGGTTCCTCATCTTCAGCTCTGACAGGATGCTGGGAAGGGAACGGAGGGAAGAGGTGGCAGGCACGGTCCTCCCTTGGGCCAGCCTTCCTGGCAGCACCAGACCCTCTTCCCCAAGAGCCGGGCCTGGACTCCCCAGTGAAGCAGGGAAGGAGCAGGACCATCCTGCATCCCCGCCGACCCAGAATGAAGGGCCCAGACAGGCCTGCGCTGCAGCTATTCCAGCCAAAGACAAGGAGAGGAGCCGGCTCTGCCAGCTGGAAGCTAGTTGGGGCAAAAGGCCCTCCACAACAGTGATCCCCAACCTTTTTTATGCCGCGGCCCGGTACCGGCATCAGCTGGGTGCCGCCATCTTTTTTTGATGAAAAAGTGCTTCCGGTGAGCTTTCTACCCGGAAAAGCTCACCGGAAGCACTTTTTCATCAAAAAAAGATGGCGGCGCCCAGCAACCAGCGGCCCGGTAGGACTTGTTCCGCGGACCGGTGGTTGGGGACCCCTGTTCCACAAAACCCAAAATTGGCCGAAGTCACGCCAGAAGTCCTACCTGGGAGTCAAGGTCAGCATCATCACCCCGATGTAGCGGCGCTTGCCCTCAGAGTGGCCAAACCAAGACTCTGCAACGGGAAAGGCAACTCTCTGTACGGGCCCCCTCCTCACCCAACCCCAAGCCAACCTCAAGCACTGCTTCTAGGCCAGGAGAGCCAGGAAGGGGGCAGGGGCCCCTCTGCGGCAGCACTCAGGATGTCTGCAAGAAGGGAGGGAAGCTAGGCCCGAGGGCTGCAACACAGACACACACACCCCACCTTGAGAGGCACCCAGGAGCCCGCCTGCCTTGCAGCTCCCCCTCTCACCCTTGTGCTTCTGCTCCTGCTCCAGGAAGACCCGCAGGCGGTCGGAGGGAATGGCAAAAGAGATCCCCGGCGTGACCTTCATGGTGTTCACACCAATCACTTCCCCGTCCTGAGAGATGAGAAGGGTCTGACAGAAGGAGCTGGCAGGAGAGGAGCCGACTTACGCAACAACCCCCTTCCATCCCACCCAGGCCCAGTAAAGGAACAATAGCTCTTCCAGGAGTCCCAAAATTGGGGGGGGGGGGGTGTTTGTTTGTCAGCAGGTCTTCTTGAGCTTACCAAGTTGACCAGGGGGCCCCCGGAGTTCCCAAACTGCGAAAGATAAAAGACCCCCGTCAGCTAAAGCAGCAGCTGCAGCACCTTCTCAACATTTTAGGCCAGAGGTCTCCAAACTTAGCAACTTTTAAGACTTGTGGACTTCAACTCCCAGAATTCTCCAGCCAGCTATGCTGGCTGGAGAATTCTGGGAGTTGGAGTCCACAAGTCTTAAAAGTTGCTAAGTTTGGGAAGCCCTGCTGTAGGCCTCCCAGCTCACCTTCAGGCATCCGAGCAGCCCCGCAGCCCCCCAAATACACTTATCCCCCTCCCCAGTAAGCTTACGTCGATGGCAGCGTCCGTCTGGATGTACTCCATGTCGGAGGCGGCCAAGCCCAGCTCCCGGCCTCCACGCTGGGCCGAGCTGACGATGCCCGAGGTGATGGTGTTCTGCAGGGCGAAGGGGCTGCCCATGGCCACCACGAACTCCCCCTGCCGCACCTCGGAGGAGCGGCCCAGGCGCAGCGTCGGCAGCGGGTGCTACGCGGGGAGGAGGAGAGCGGCCTCAGCGCCGGGACATCCCCGTCCCCCTCCCTCCCTCCCTCCCGCCCGGTCCCCCGAAGGAGGCAGGGTGCGGCCACCTTGGGGCTGATCTTGAGGGTGGCGATGTCGGCCACCTGGTCCACCTGCCGCACCACCGCGTCGTACAGCTCCCCGCTGGCCAGCCGCACTCGCACCCGCCGCCGGTTGGCCACCACGTGCGCGTTGGTCACCACCAGCCCGTCCGCCGCCACCACGAAGCCCGACCCGTTGGAGATGGGCACCTCCCGGCCCGAGAAGGGGTGCCTGCGGGGAGTGGACGGTGAAGGGGGGGGACAAAAGGGTGATGAGTCCACGTTGCCCCCCCTCCGACCCGTGTCATCCCACCCCCGCGCTTGAGCCCCCCTCCCCCAGGCGCCCCCCCCAACCCCACCTGCCCAGGATCTCGATGTAGACCAGCGCCGGCGCCGTCTGCTCCACCACGTCCGCGATGAAGTTGTAGGTGCTGCGCGGGGAGCCCGGCGGGGGGGCCGGCACGGCGGCGCTCAGGACCGGCAGCAGCGGGCGCTCCTGGCCCCCCGCTCCGCTCAGCAGCAGCCCCAGCGCCACCCCCGCCGCCGCCCCGCCCGCCGCCGCCGCCCACCGCAGGGACGGGAAAGCTGAGCGCCGCTGTCCGCGAGAGCCGCATTCGGGGGCCGCCGCCGCCGCCGCGAGAGCTGCCCCCCGCCGCCCGGGGATCGCTCGCAGGGCCGTCGCTATCGCCGTCAGCCTCGCCGCCATCGCTCGCCGCGGGGCAGGCCGGGAGTTGTAGTTACGGGGCCCCCCTCTAGCGGCACCGGAAGAGGCGGGGCCGTGCCACGGCGCTTCTTCCGCCTGCCCTCCAGGCGCCTAAGATGGCTGCCGCGCCTGCGGCTCGCCCGTGAAGGCCGGCGAGGCGCCCCCGGGCAGGTATGGAGCCGCCTCCCGTCCCGGCCGCCGCCGCCGCCGCCGCCAGCCCCGAGCGCCTCTTCGACTCCCACCGGTGAGGCCTGAGCGAGGCTCCGCGGGGGAGGAGGGAGGGGGGGGAGGTCTGCCGGCCGCCGGGGCTCTCCTGCCATTCTCCGCGCGCCTCTCTCCGCAGGCTGCCGAGCGACGGGCCGCTGCCGGTGCTGCTGGCGCTGCTGCTCTATGCGCCGGTGGGGCTGTGCCTGCTGCTGGTGCGGCTCTTCGTGGGGCTGCACGTCTTCCTGGTCAGCTGTGCGCTCCCGGACGGCGCCCCGCGCAGGTGAGCGGGGCCCCGGGGGTCTTGTCGGGCGGGGGAGAGAGCGCGGTCGGCGGGGGGCCCCGCGCCGCTACTGGGCTCTCGACTGCTCCGTCCCGCAGGTTCCTGGTGCGCGCCATGTGCTCCGTGCTGGGCCTCTTCGTGTGGCAGAGCCGGCCGCGCAGCGCCCGCGCCCGCGTCCTGGTGGCCAACCACGTCACGCCCTTCGACCACAACGTCCTGGGCCTGCTGGCCTCCTGCAGCGCGGTGAGCGGGGTCCCGGGCTGGGCTGGGGAGAGAGGGGGGCTGTCCCCGCAGCCTTGACCGCCCCGCGCCCGTCTCCCCCGCAGCCCGTGCTGAACGGCGCCGCCGGCTTCCTCTGCTGGTCCCGCGGCTTCCTGGAGGTGGCCGGCGCCGAGAGCCGCGCGGAGCTGCTGGAGTCGCTGAAGGGCTACTGCTTGCAGGGCGGCAATCCGCCGCTGCTGCTCTTCCCCGAGGAGGAGACCACCAACGGCCGGGTGGGCCTGCTGCGTTTCAGGTTGGCCCGGAGGGGGCTGGGGGAGCCGGGGCTGCACCGCTTGGCGCTGCCTAACCGACCCTCCGCCCCCCCCTTTTTTTTTTTTTTTGGCAGCTCCTGGCCCTTCTCCATCGTGGACGCGGTGCAGCCGTTGGCTCTGCAGGTCTGGAGGCCCTTCGTGGCTGTGGTGAGTCTGGGGCTCGGAGGAGGCCTGGGGCCACCTGGCTGTGGCTCTTTGACAGCCCCAGTTGTTTTTCCCTTCCCTCGCAGAGCGTGGCTGGCGCTTCCTGGTTCACTGAGCTGCTCTGGACTTTCTTCGTTCCTTTCACCGTTTATCAAGTAAGGTACTAAAGCTCTCTAATTTTTGTGGGATGTGGGGGCTACCGGATCACTTTTGCATCCAGGCTCGGGACTCCATTAGCCTGAAGGACAGCAAGGAATTGGCGGTCTGGGGCTGAGATCCTGAGGGCTTCTCGCTTTCTCCTCAAGGTGGCTTCCCTCTGTGTACAGAGAAGCCGAGGAGACCCAGGAAGAGTTTGCCCTGCGAGTTCAAGAGGTAGGAAAGAGGCAGCCGGGGAGGAGGTTAGGGGGGAAGTGCTCAGAAGATCAGGACGTCTCAGCTTGTCTCTCTGCTCTTTGTAGCTTCTAGCTCTGGAGTTGGGCGTGGTGTCTACGTGCCTCACAGCCGCTGACAAAGCAGAGCACCTGAAGCGTCTCCGCCACCACCCTCCAGCTTCCCGTCCTCCCCCACGTGAGTCTCTGCATCTTACCCTTTTGAGCGTGTGTGTGTTGGACAGCGGTTGGAAGTTCTCACCAAATCTTTAGTCCCGCTTGGTTGGGGAGGCAGCTGGACAGGACCTGCCAAGGAGGGTACCAGGTTCAGCCTGACTGGGAGAAAAAGGCTATGCTGCAGAGGCAGCGGAAGGGGCCTGCAGGAAACAGCCTCACTCCTTCCTCTCTTTGCAGCTTCAAGCCAACCCTCTGGGAGTCGACCCCAAGTCTCACGCAGCATGCCCTCCCCGGAGAATGTACGCTTGATAGGCATGGCCCAGCGTGTCCAAGAAGTTCTACCCCAGGTGCCCATGTCAGCTATCCGCAAAGACCTAGGTGAGGAGGGAGAAGCAGCCACAGCAGGCGGGCCCAGATGTGGTGCTGCACCCTTTAACCAAGACAGTCCCTGCGGCCTAAGGGGAAGGGGAAGGTTGCGGCTTGGGAACCTGGGAATGGCAGGCAGCCTTTTGCAGCACAGAGAGGACCTTTGGCAGATTTCCTGGCACTCGGTCAAGCCCCAAGCAGGGTTTCCTAGGACGAGTGGGCATCTATTATGGGGCAATGCTTATAGGAAGAACAAGCGGCAAGCACATTTCCCGGGTGCCTTTTGGGAGTTAAAGTTTTCCCAGTGATCAACAGCATCGTTGTTGTTTTTTCCTGCCCTTTTTCACGTTGGGTGTTTCAGAAATGTGAATAATCATTTTCTCTGTGCATCGTTGTCGTTTGACTGAGTTCTTTAAGCATGTATGCCTCGTCCTTCAAAGGCGTACACGGGAAAGCCCACGTAAAGCGTCAGTGCAGCCGAGATGCCTATGGGAAGGCAGCCTCAGCCACGAGGGATTGTGTGGTTGTGAGAAGGGACCTTGAGTTGGTGCTTGCCTTCACTAAAGAGAGCTCCTCGTTTCTCTCTCCTCTCAGCTCAGACTAACTGCGTGGACACCACAATTGCCAATCTTTTGGAGGGGCGGGTTCCCTTCGTACCAGAGGCAGAGACCGAAGGCTTTGTGGCTGCAGCTCCCTCTTTCTACGGTGCTCAGGATCCTTCCACCTCCCGAATAGCCCCGGTACTTGCATTCAGGTCCAGAAGGCTGCGCGAGTGTCTTGTCTGGAAGAAGCGCGTTTGGGCAGGTTCCTAAAGGGGGTCTCTCTTTTCCTTAGGCATCGGGGAAGCTCTTTGCCAGATCTGCGGAAGCCAGACAACTCTCTCTCCAGGAACGGAAGCAAGCGCTCTGGGACTACGCCAGAAGGTGGTGGGCCCCTCCCTCTTTTTCTGTGGGCAGAGGGTTGCACCCGGAAGGGGAAGCTCCCTGGGGAGAGGGCGTCAGAAAGCGGGCCCTCGTACTGAAGCTGTTCTCTTTCTTCGCAGGAGATACACAGAGAAATATGGAATAGCCCACGCGGAGGGCAGCTGCTGACCAGCTCCTTAGCTTGAACTTGTGGCTCGGTAGACAAATGATCTTTGCAGGGGATCACTGCTGTCCTGGGGCGACCAAGGTGGTGGCTCTTGAGAAGTATTGTGTGTGCCATCCATGGGCTGCCTCTGCAGGTGGGGAGGCTGCAGCCAAGCACAGTGTGCCAGCATTCCCGCGTTCCCCACCACCATGCCTGGACCCGGCATTGTCAGAGTCTCTGCCCAGCGTGGGGGGAGGAGGGGTCTTTATGAAAATAAACACGACTCTTAATGCTCATCCATTTGGGTCAGGTGCTGCTTGTTTTGGTATGAGAGAGAGAAACCCCTGGAAAAGTCACATTCTCTTTGGAAGTTTCTGGCTGCTGCAGGCAGCCCCCAAGCTTGACCTTCTGGACTTCTTGTGCTGTTCTGTCAGAGGGAAGATTCCAGTGCAAGTGGTTGATTTTACATCAGTGGTAGGGAGGGCGGTGGGGAACTGACAGTATGAAGGCCCTTCCGTGTTCCCTGCTCTTCCTGGGCTGCTTCACCAAAGAGCCTCTTGAGAAGCGTCCCATCGTCTGACCATCTTCCAGGTGTCCAGACCAACCCTTTTGAGTTTTTAGGAGCCATGAAATTGGCTCGGACGTTCTGAGAGATGCTTCCGGAAGATACTTGATTGTCGCCAACCACAAAGAAGGGTGTGTTTTTTTTGTATTGATGGTTGAATTTTGTTACCCGTCTTCCAGTGGTTATACTTTCCATGGAATGAGCACTTACTACGCTGTTGAATGGTTTTATCTAGGCTGTATCGTTTACTGGAGTTTGCCATGGTTGGCCAGTTTGTGGCTCAGTGTTGTGTGAACCCACACACACAGCTGGAGTAGTTGTGGTTGCTCTGCAGACGGGTTGCCTGGCCGTATCTATGCCCGGAGGGGTCCCTACCTTGCTTGCCAGCAGCCCTGTGGGCTGGAGCTACTGGCTGTGGTAGTTAAGCCTGATTTCTCAGCAGTTGGTAACCGGTTCCTAACTTATCAGCTGTGTTTGCATGGCAACCTTATCTAGAGATCCCTTGACTCAGATTTCGAGGGTTGTGGGGCACCTTGGAACCCCTCTTAGTGGCCCCAACTGGGGTCACGTTACAAACTAGGTTGACTGGTTAGCAGCTCAACATCTAGCGCAGATCCAAGCAACGTTCTGGGTACAAAGCCGTTTTTGGAAGGATCCTTTTTAGCTTCCCCCTTAAGATGTGCTCCTTTCCAATGGCTCAGGTGAGGACGGTGATAAAATGCAAAACTAAGAGGAGACTGGAGAAATGTTTGCATTTTAAAAGTTAAAGGGAGCTTGTGATCCATTGTCCAGGGAATTCTGAGGACCGTTTGGCAATCCCCTCTGCGTGTTTTCACAGAAATGGAAGATTCCCTTCCCATCAGAAACGGGGGAGAGAAAGAGGGAGGATTTTCCCACTCGCTGTGGGGCATTCTGAGGCTTTTGAGATGGAAGTTAGTAAATTGCTGCTTCTGGTTGATGTCCTTGAGTTGTGTGTCTGTCCGTCCCCACCCGATTCTGCTTGCCTTTCGTGTCATTTCTGCCATTAACTTTCTGATGAACGATGAATAAATGCCAAGCGATGGTTTTTGCTAGCTGAACTGAGTAGCGTGTATGCTTCTTCTGAGCTAGATTCAAGGACCGAGTAGGAGGGTGCCGGATGCAAACTAATCTGGAAACAAAAATTCAACACTCTCCAATAACTTGGATTCCAGCTTGGATCCCTCTTATACCCCGCTTGGGTTTCACGACTCTGAAATGACCACGACCACCCCACCTTCCCCAGGTCACCTCACTTAAATGTTTCCCCCTTCCTCATTGTGTCCCAAAGACACAGCCAGTCAGCTTTTCTAGCAATAAAAAATATAATTGCGAATGTCCATAAAGTAGTGCCACTTTACGGCTGTGACTAAGGAAAAATATTTCTTCTAGCCATCTCTCCTTAGGAAAAAAGAACACCTCTTAATTAGAATTAGAATTCTTTTATTAGCCAAGCGTGATTGGACACACGAGGAATTTGTCTTGGTGCAAATACTGTCAGTATACGTAAAAGAAAAGATACATTCGTCAAGAGTTATTAAAATTTTATTAAGCAAAATAAAAGCATTTTTAAAACATTAAAATGCAAATATTTTGCAACTAAAAAGGAAGTAAGGATCTATCCAGATGATGGGAGGACAGCAGTTGGAACCCTCCCTCCTTCAACGGCTCTTCCCTGAATGCTCTGGAGAGGGTCTTTTATGCTTCACAGAAAAAACAGAGGGGATCGGGTTGTACAGGCTGCATTCCGCTTTTGTATCTCTGCTTCCAGGTTGGCCCAATCCATATATATAAAAGCGAAATAACCACTCACGCATCATCACAAAATCTCCAGAACTGTAAAGTCCACAAACTTTGACATTTGGCACATATGTTTCTCTTGTCTTCTAAGATGCTCGCTAAGAAAGGATTTTTTGAAATGACCACCAGAGCATTAGTATTTCCTATATATTGTTATTAACACGCTCTGATGCTAAGGAATTCTACTCCCCCTCCCCACCTGAAAAGAAATCTGTTCCAAATGCAAAACACAAGCAGCGGGGAAGAATTTCAGGTTCAGAGCACCAAGCAGCTTTAATCCAGAACAGTTAAGCTAAGCCACGCCCAGTCTCCTTGCTGTCTCCTTGCTCACACAGTAAATACTGTTTCAGTTTCCAAACCGCCCTCAACTCACACACTGACAGGATGCTAGCCAGATAAATACCGATGGATGCTGGTAGGCAGAGGCAGAATTCTGCCTCCCCCCACCCTTATTTTCCTAAGCCCGACCACATAGGTATTCCGCTAAGTATTTAAAATAAAAGAATTTTTTCTCCCCAATTCCCTCTTGGATATTTTCTCTTCTTACGTCTGACATTTTAAAGAACTTCCAAGTTGCCCCTGAGGGTCAAGAGTCCCTGATGTTCAGGATGTTGCCATTTTCCCAGTGAGTAACCCCTGAGCCTGTGGCCCAGGAAACGGAGCACGTGCCCTTCCAGGAACTGAGGTATGGACAGCCCCTCCAGAGCAGTGGACATCAAAGAGTCCTTTGCCCCAGGAACAAAACGCTTCTCCCCAGCCGCTTTTTGCAGGAAAGGAAAGCCGCCCTGGTTGGAGGCCTTGTCTGGGCAAAGATGGTGCAGGCGTTATCCAGCTGTCCTTCCCAAAACTGAACCAGTCACAGCATTTTAGCTGCGGTCTGGCCAACACAGAACAGGAAAAGGGGGCCAGTCTTGATCTCAGCATCTGACGAGCTATACGGCAAACATCTGGCCTTTGGGCTCCGGTGTTGCAGTTGAAACAAGCTGTTTTCACCCACCCATCCCCTGCTACCACTTGCCCAGTGCTTCCCACCAGCCCCTGCCTTGAATGGCTTCTACTCAGATGTTTACCTTTGTCCCTTTTAACCTTCTTCTTGCTGGCTTTGGCCCACTGCTGAGTCTTGATACTTCTCCTTTCCTCTCCCATCTGATCCGTGGTGGGATTCAAAAAAATTCACTACCGGTTCTGTGGGTGTGGCTTGATGGGGTGGGGTGGCTTGGTGGGTGTGGCAGGGGAAGGATACAGCAAAATCCCCATTCTCTCCCCCACTCCACTAACCTGCTTTCCAGCTCCGTTCTCCTGTGCAGGGCCACCAAAGAAGACCCAGCCGATCAGCTGGGACTCAATGGGAGGCAGAGAAGAGATGGGGTTGGCGGGGCCAGTCAGAGGTGGGATTGGCTGGTTCTCCAAAGTACTCAAAATTTCCGCTTCCGGTTCTCCATAAATGGTCCGAATCTGCTGAATGCCACCTCTGAAAGGAACGCTCCCTTTCTCGTGGCCTGCGTGAAAGCCACTGAAATCTCCCATGCAGACAAAATGGCAGGATTTGAGGTGCCGGAATGCAAGGTGTGTGTGTGTGTGTGTGTGTGTGTGTGTGTGTGTGTACGTACTTGCAGGGGGACAGGCTCCTTGGCTGTTTGCCCTGCTGGCTCCGCCTTCCAAAGAGGCTACCAGGACATCCACAGGTGCCTCAGTTATCCCAATGGGTTCAGAGCCCCTACCTAAGATTCTGTGTAGTTCAGAGGACCCCCAAAATCCCACTCCTGGCTAGCCCCACCCACCCCTCCCAGAAGTCCCCACGCAGCCGGTTTTGGATATAGGGCATGTGGAGAGGTTTGGGGAGGGATTAAAAACGGGCCTCCTGGAAGTTCAGGAAGGCCGGAAATGGGCCCGTTTCCGGCTTCCAGAGAGCCTCTGGAGCCCAGGGAGGCCATTTTCACTCTCTTGGAGGCTCGAGGAAAACCTCCAGGGCCGGGACAGGGCAAAAATGCCACCCCCCCGAACTGCCATGGTGCAGGAGACTAACTAGGCCAGGGGTCTCCAATCATGGCAACTTTAATACTTGTGGACTTCAACTCCCAGAATTCCTGAGCTAACATGACTGGAGGAGGAATTCTGGGAGTTGTAGTTCACAAGTCTTAAAGCTGTCAAGTGTGACCATCCCTGCCTTACAATGACCACAGAAAAAACTCTCATCTTCCCTCCTGTGAGACCAGCCGGCCAACTGAAAGTGGCCCCAGAGCGTGTTCTGGGTCCAGAAGGTCAGAACTGACTCCAGCATGGGAAGGGCAGGGAAGGGCTCTTCCCACTAAACCCGGCCTGGTTCTCCTGAGGCGCTTGCATCCGGTGGGTCCCTCTTAAGAAGGGGATGAGCTTCAGATGCTGTCTCTAGGAAACGAAGGCTGTGATCCAAAGGATCACATAGATAAACACAAACATAAACCCAAAACCATCTTTCCTTGTACAGTGTGTCAGTTGGTACATATCTCTTGTGCACAATATTAACAGTCTTTCCCTCCTAACCTTAAATTAACATTCATATTATATACGTCAACTACCAATGTCATATTATATTGTTATCAAACCAATATTAGACTTTAGTTATAAATTCATAGCATTCTTTTTGAGCAAGTCTCTACTTTTACAATGCCTAGCTCATGACGCCATTCATTCCATCACCATCCAATATAACATATTATTACAATGTATCGTTTTTACTCTTATATCAATATTATAGGGTATTTTGTTTGAAATCCCTAAGTCTTCAAGTGGCCCAGTTTGGGAACCTCTGGTTTAAAGCAACTAAACATTGGTCTCCCTTTCACGCGTGTCCTCAGCGCTTGGAGAGTGAATGTGTGGGCCGACCACGAAGCGCGTCCATCCTCCTCCGCCACACCTGCCTCGGACGGAGCTTTGCAAAAAGGGAGCGCCGGGGTGGCCAAGCTAAAAAGCTTTCTTCCGGCTTGCTTTTGGCTAATCCGCCGCCTGTTTCCTGACCCGGCAGGTGAGGCCGGCGGCGATGAACCACGCAGAGCGGACAGCCCCGCCTTCGCTGCCCCCCACCCCCACCCCCCAAGCCCGTTTGCAGCGTTGGCCGCGCGGCCGGACTCGCGCATCCGACAGGATTCGGCCACCGCCACCCGGCCAGGTGTGCGTGACGCGAAGGGGCGTGGCGTGGCGCCCTAGGCCCCGCCCATCTCCGCAGCCTTCCCGAGGCGCGAGGTGACGCTGCGCGAGAGACCCCACCCCCACCCCGCCCGCGGCAGGTGGAGGCGGGCCAGCCCGGGCGGGAGCGCAGGAAGCCGCCGCTGCCGGGCTGGGGAAGGGGCCGGGCCGGCCTCCAGCAGCAGCAGCAGCCCGCCGCCCCTCGCGCGGGATCCCGGGAGCCAGGCCTCGGCCGCGCTACCATGGCGGCTCTGCTGCTGCAGGACGAGGCGGAGGAAGCGGCGGGCGGCGGCGGCGGCACCGGCGACCTGGAGGTGAACCCTTTCGACGGGCTGCCCTTCTCCTCCCGCTACTACGAGCTGCTGAGCCGCCGCCGCCGCCTCCCCATCTGGGCCGCCCGCTTCGCCTTCCTGGAGCAGCTGGAGAGCAGCGCCGGCCTCGTCCTGGTCTCGGGCGAGCCGGGCACCGGCAAGAGCACGCAGGTCAGCGTGGCCGCCGAGGAGCCGGGGGGCGGGGGGCGTCCAGTGGGCGGCAATTCCCCGTCGGGCAGGCCGGGACGGTGAGGCGCGGCTGGGCGAGGCGCTTCTGGCCTCGGCAAGTTAGCCGCGTCGATGGGATCTTTGCCCGGGCGGGGCCTTCCTTCCCTCCCCTGGCGGGGCGAGACGAGGCGGGCGGAGACCGGAGTGAAAACGGGAGTCGGGAGTCTCCGAGCCGCCTTGCCGGCCAAGCCCTGGCCCAGCCCGTGCCGGGTGACGTGGCTCCAGAGTCTGGGCCGCCCGTCGCCACGGACTTCCCAGGTTCGGGGTGTGGAGCCCCGCCGTGGGGTGGCCTTTGAGGTGGAATCACCCAGACGGGCCCGGCCGCCGCCTGGGAGGAGAGCCTTGGAGGGGCCTGAAGGAGAGGCCTGGCAGAGTTTTGTAGCTGGTCTGTGCAGCTTCTCAGCTGCCTTTCTTTAAGAGTTGGGGGGATGGAACTGAGCTAAGGATGGACTTTGCGCATTTGTGCAGGCCAACCTTTTGGACCTCAGGGACCACCAAACTCATCATTTTAAATCCCGCGGTCCAGAGACCCTGGGAAAAATCCCCAAAAAAGTCTGCAGGAGAGTTCCCCACCCCCGTTTTCCTACCAATCGATGATCCGTTCTTTATTTGGGATCGCAGGATACCGTCTCCAGCTCTGTTCTCAGGGGGTGAGAGAGACTTTTGACTTCATGCAAGGAAAGCAGCAGAAGCCGCAGAAGTCTTTCTTTCTCTCCCCCAAAGTCCGCCAGAAACGAGTCTTTGTGAGACTTGTTGCGACAGAGCAGCCTCTTGGAGCAGGACGCCTTGCAGGGTCCCAAAGACTCAGTTCTGGCAGAGTTTGGGGGAGAGAAAGGAAGACTTTTGCTGCTTTCCTTGCATGCAGCCAAAGGCAGAAGAAAGAAGCAAAAAGAAGCAGCCCAGTGGCCAGGCGAGGCATGTGGGATGAGTGGGGCAAGTTCCCCCCCTTCCATCCTTTCCCCCCTCCCCTCGTGTTGTTTGCAATGCAACCGACGCAAGCCTTGTATTCCCCTGCAGCCTGGATTAATTGCTTTGGGGGTGACATTTCTCTGTGGACCACCAAAATTTTCTCGCGGACCACCAGTGGTCCCCAGCCCACTGGTTGGCGATCCCTGCATTAGTGGATCCCCTGAGTAGAGACGGCTCAAAATGCAAGACCTATTGGTTAGGGTTAGGCTTGTATCTGATCAGCTGGGGGGGGAGGCTGGCTTGTGCACTGACCCCCTCCTCTCTTCCCAGGTGCCCCAGTGGTGCGCAGAGCAAGCCCTCTCGGTGCAGTTTGCCCACGGCCGAGTGGTCTGCACCCAGCCTCATAGTTTGGCAGCCCTCAGCCTGGCCCTGCGTGTGGCAGATGAGATGGACCTCAATGTGGGCCACGAGGTGGGCTATTGCGTGCCCCACGAGGACTGCTGCGTCTCAGAGACCCTGCTCAGGTCAGTGGGACCCCTTTGCCTGGGAGCCGTGTCCATGTCGGGGCCTCGTTCGTCTTGACTGACACTGCATGTGTTGGCCCTGGACATCCAGGCAGGATGAGGAGCTCCCCAGGACTCTATCAACTGCCCACTGTTGGCATCTTTAAGACTTGTAGACTTCAATTCCCAGAATTCCTCAGCCAGCTTTTCCAGGTTGGTGACCCCTGCACTGGATGGAGAGTGATCGCCAACCTGGAAAAGCTGGCTGAGGAATTCTGGGAGTTGAAGTCTACAAGTCTTAAAGTTGCCAAGGTTGGAGACCCCCAGTCCAGTGGATTCAAGACTTTGGTGGGGCATTTCCGTTTCTCTGACGCCATTGATTTACGAGGGGTGGAGTCAGATAAACCCGGCCTTGGCTTAAAGGAAAAGTGTTACTATTGTTAACATTATTACCATCAGAGAAAGAAAGAAAAAATGCAGAAAGGAGAATACTGACGCATGACTGGGTACTGGAAGTAGTTTAGAAACCAAGAGACCCCCAAGGCAGACCCCTCGACAATAAGCCACCTGGGGCACTTGGAAGCAGCCTCTTCCGCTCAGCCCTGGGAAGGACGAGGTCAGGGCAAGCACACCTGAAAACACCACCAAGGAAGCCATTGGGGCTTCTCCAGGCAGTTGCCAGCTAGCAAAAAGCCCCCAGACCAGAGGTGGTATTCAGCAGGTTCTGACTGGTTCTGGAGAACCAGTAGCAGAAATTTTGAGTAGTTTGGAGAACCGACCAATCCCACCTCTGACTGGCCCCACCCCACTCTATTCTCTGCCCCCCAAGTCCCAGCTGATTGGCTGGGTCTTTGGTTGCCCTACACAGAACGGAGCTGGAAAGCAGGTTAGTGGGGTGGGGAGGGAACGGGGATTTTGCAGTATCCTTCCCCTGCCACGCCCACCAAGCCACGCCCACCGGTAGTAAAAAAAAATTAAATTCCACCACTGCCCCAGACCAAGGGTCTTCAAACTTGACAGCTTTAAGACTTGTGGACTTCAACTTCCAGAATTCCTGAGCCAACATGACTGGAGGAGGAATTCTGGGAGTTGAAGTCCACAATTCTTAAAGCTGTCAAGTTTGAAGACCCTTGGTCTATCATCTATCTGTCCATCTTCTATTGTCTCCCCATCCATCCATCCATATCTACTGTCCATCCATCCATCCATATCTATTTATCATCCATCCATATCTATATCTACCATCCACCCATCCATCCATCATCTATCACAAAGGTCTTCAAACTTGACAGCTTTAAGACTGGTGGACTTCCACTCCCAGAATTCCTGAGCCAACATGACTGGAGGAGGAATTCTGGGAGTTGAAGTCCACAATTCTTAAAGCTGTCAAGTTTGAAGACCCTTGGTCTATCATCTATCTGTCCATCTTCTATTGTCTCCCCATCCATCCATCCATATCTACTGTCCATCCATCCATCCATATCTATTTATCATCCATCCATATCTATATCTACCATCCACCCATCCATCCATCATCTATCACAAAGGTCTTCAAACTTGACAGCTTTAAGACGGGTGGACTTCCACTCCCAGAATTCCTGAGCTAACACGACTGGAGGAGGAATTCTGGGAGTGGAAGTCCACCCGTTTTAAAGCTGTCAAGTTTGAAGACCCCCGCCCCAGACCAACAAGCTCCCTAAGGGATCATCATAAGTAGAAGTGCAAAAACTTTGGTCTATCAAAAGAGGCCTCTCCTTTTGTGCAGGCACCTCAGTTACTCCGAAGGGGCTACGGGAACCTGGCATGGCTGACAGGGCCCCCATCCTCCCCAGCTCCCTCTTTCTGTGGGGTGTTCAGGCGGATGGGCTCCTCTGGCCCCTGGCTGGTGGGGAAGCGGATGCGTGTCCCTCTTCTATTGGAACCTTTGGGGGGGCAGACGGTGCAGACGCTGGCTTTGGGGCTTAGCCGAAAGACCCAAACAAGACGCCTCTAGAGGTTGCCTCCCAGCAGAAGAGCCCCTGTCCCGGCCGGCTGCTCCACTTGCCCAACTCCTGTGTTGCAGGTTCTGCTTGGACGAAGTCCTGTTGCAAGAGATGACCTCGGACCCCCTTCTGCGGCAGTACGGGGTGGTGGTGCTAGACGAAGCTCAGGAGCGCACGGTGGCCACGGAGCTGCTCCTGGGGCTGCTCAAGGACGTGCAGCACCAGCGCCCGGATCTCCGCTTGGTGGTGGTGACCGAGCCTCTCCTGGAAGAGCAGCTGTGCCAGTTCTACCAGGATGCCCCCGTGGTGAGGGTCCCGGGCCTTGGCCCCGCGCCACGCTTGACCTACAGAGACCCCCTCCCAGGGGGCCACGTGCCTGCTGCCTGCCAAGCCGTGCTGGAGCTTCATCGACAAAAGGAACCTGGCGACGTAATGGTCTTCATGGCCAGTGAGCAGGTGAGTCTTTGGGCAGAGGCCGGCATGGTGCAGAAGCTGCCCGTCAAAGCAGTGTGGCAGGAAGCTTAGGACCCTTGGGTGGCATTTAGTGGGGGGGGTCTCTTGGCCACTTTGCAAGAGAGGACAGAGTGAGGCCACCCTGTGAGGAAGCTAGAGAGGCAGATGGGCTACGCACCACGTAGATCAAGAGGCACTGTGTCCAGTTGAAGGGCCAGCCTCCTTCCTGGGGTCGCGGGTGGGGTCGCGGGGTTCTGGTTGTGGAAGAAAAAAGGGCATTTTTGTGTCTCTTCCCCCAGGAGATCAAGGAGGTGTGCGAGGCCCTCCGAGCAGAGGCTGCGGTCCTAGAGGCCGGCCTGGGACCCCTGCTGGTGCTGCCTCTGCATGCGGCTGTGGGGAGGGACAGCCAGAAGTTGTATGAGGACAGCCTGGGTGAGCGGGCCCGCCGAGTCATTGTCACCCACTGGCTGGCAGACGCAGCCTTCTCGGTGGGCAGCGTAAGGCACGTCATCGATACGGGGACGGAGCTACGCAACGTGAGTCTCCGGGGCAGGAGAGAAAGGCGGAGGAGGGTCTTATGTGAGGGGTTGCTCGCCTGCCCTCTGGCCCAGAGGCCAAGACCCCCGATGAGCCTCACAGTGCTCTGAGCCCGGCCAAGGCTGCCTGGGAACTGTTGACCATTAGCCTGTCCCCCGGCAAGTACACCAAGAGACACACACGCACACCTCGCATTCCGGCACCTCAAATCCTCCCATTTGGTCTGCATGGGAGATTATAGGGGCTTTCATCCATCAAAGGGCAGCGTTCCTTTCAGAGGTGGGATTCAGCCGGTTCTGACAGGTTCTGGAGAACCAGAAGCAGACATTTTGAGTAGTTCAAAGAACTGGCCAATCCCACCTCTGACTGGCCTTGCCAACCCCATCTCTTCTCTGCCTCCTGAGTCCCAGCTGATCGGCTGGGTCTTCTTTGGTTGTCCTGCACAGGAGAACAGAGCTGAAAAGCAGGTTAGAGGGGGGTGGGGGATTTTGCAGAATCCTTCCCGCCACGCCCACAGAACCCGTCATAAAAAAAATTTGAATCCCACCACTTCCTTTCCCTTTGGGTGGGATAAGAAACGAAGGCCGGCAAGCCCTAGGTGCGCCTCCAGATTCCGTGGTTCCTCCAGCAGCCCTTTCCCAGAAGCCCACAAGGGGTAGCTGCCCTTGGCCCTCTCCTCCCACCCACAAGTGTGGGTGAGAAAGAAGATGCTCCCCCCCCCCCCCCAATCTTCTGCTTTGGCCACCTCTTGCCCAGCAGCCTCTGGCTGCTCTCTTCTGGACAGGTGTACAACCCCCGGATCCGGGCTGCGTCACAGGAGTTGCGCCCCATCAGCCGGAGGCAGGCAGAGGCCCGACGGCTCAGGGCTGCTGGCGCTCCTCCAGGTAAGCGGCTGGGCCTCCTGGGGTTTGGCTACTCCGGCAGAGGCCTGAGAGGCCTTCCCAGGCGTTCTTAAGCGATGCTCTGCCCCACAGGGACCTGTTTGCGCCTCTATTCAGAGGCCTGCTACGAGCAGAGGCTGCCGGCCGTCTCCCCCACTCACCTCATGGAGGCCGACCTTCGCCGCCCCATCCTGCTGCTCAAGAGGCTGGACATTGCGGACGTGGGCCAGTGTGACTTTCTCGACAGGCCAGGTGTGGACGGGATGGGGTGGGTGGGATGGTGGCTGTCCCTGCCAGGCCAGCAGCAGCCCTTCATTGGACCTCCAAATGAAGGCGAATCTTAAGTATCCCAGGACAACGTTGTAGGGCCGTTCTGCGTGTGCTATTTATATGATGCCTGTTGCGTGTGGTGTTGTAGTTGTTGATTTGATGGCACCTCTCCACCCCTACCTGCCAGCCCCCGAGTCTTTGATGCAGGCCCTGGAGGACCTGGACTATCTGGCTGCCCTGGATGATGACGGGAACCTCTCCGAGGTGGGCATCATTATGTCGGAGTTCCCTTTGGATCCCCAGCTAGCCAAGGCCCTCCTGGCCTCCTGCGAGTTCGACTGCGTGGAGGAGATGCTGACTCTGGCCGCCATGCTGACTGGTACGGGCATGGGCTGCCTCTGAGGCGAGACCTCCACTGTCCAGCCTTTCTCCCTGGGTCTCCTGAGCTCGGCTGATCTTCCTCCCTACAGCCTGGCCTTGTTTCCAGACTCCGGTGACACGCTGGGAGGACGCGGTGGTGGCGCGGCAGCAGGCTCTGCTCCACCCAGCCGGGGATCACTTCACGCTCATCAATGTCTTCAATGCGTTCCACCAGCGTGAGTGACAGGCAGAGGCTCCGGGGGGGTGGGGGTGGTAGAGGACCAGCAGCAAACATCCCCACACTGCCTTCCTCCCTTTATTTTTATTTTTTAAAGTTATTTTTTTTTTTTTAAATTCCTCATTTTATAACACCATTTTCATTCTTTGCAACTTTTCGGTATCGGTATACATATGCTTAATATATATTTTAATTACACACACACACACACACACACACACACACACACACACAGTCCTTTTTATATATTTTTCACTGTAATATTTTTGTATCTATTATTTAACAAATCATAGTATGTGTTCCAAATCAAATAATATTCGGTTTCTCCTCTATCTTTTATTTCCATTGTCAGCCTATCCATCTTGGCAGACTCTAATACTTTATCACACTTTCCTCAGATGGTATAATACCATTTTTCCAGTTTTGCACATGAAACAATTCTAACCGCCGTTATTAAATGTAGCATTAGATATTGTGTTTTTTTGTCATATTTTCCTGTTATTATGCCTAATAAGAATGTACCTGGTTGTAACTTAATTTATCGTTCAGTTATTTTCTCAATCCACCTTCTTATCCTCCTCCAATATTTTTTTGCTACTGGGCACATCCACCACATATGATAGTAAGTTCCTTAATTCTGTTTACGTTTCCAACATTCTGGTGATCTAATTGGAGATCCTTTTCCTTTAGAGAGCGACCCAGAAAGCTGGTGTCGGAAACACGCGGTCAGTGAGGCAGCCTTGCAGCTGGCCGGAGCGGTTCGGACAGAGCTCTTGGATGTGATGCAGCGGATTGAGCTGCCGGTCTCCCCACCAGCCTTTGGCAGCGACAGCAACATCCTGCAGCTGAAGCGAGCCCTCCTCACTGGCTTCTTCCTCAAGGTAGAGCCGCCCCCCCCCCCCCCCAGCACAGCCCTAATGTTGCCCGGGTCAGACTGCAACATCTTGGGGCCAGCAGGCACATGCGGGATCTTGAAGCAGGAGTTGGTCCCTGCAGAGGGGGGGGGAATCAGGCACGGGGACTTGCCAGGCACACCAGCAAGCCGAGAGCCAAGGCATGGCCAGGGCTATGATCCAAGAGAGGACAGCCAGCCACCAGCCGACTCCAACGGAGACCCCCAGGCCATGGCCTCTTGGGTGCAGAGAGCTCTGCCATCGGGAGGGGGCTGCCTCTTAGCGCGGGTGAGAGAACTGCTCCTCTTCCCCTTGTGCAGGTCGCCCGGGACATCGACGGCTCAGGCAACTACCTGCTGCTGACCCACAAGCACTTGGCCCAGCTGCCCCCCAGCTGCTGCTATCGACTGCGCCGCCCACCCCCACGGCCTCCCTCTTGGGTGCTCTACCACGAATTCACTGTCTCCCAGGACAACTGCCTGAGGATCGTCTCTGAGATCCCGCCAGAATTGTAAGCTTCCCCTTGGGCGGGGGGGGGGGGGGCAGGCAGTGTTGGGATGCTGCCGGTGTAACGACCGGTTTGCTAATCGTGCGCTTTGCGCGCGTACACAGCTTTCAAAATTACTTCCCTTCAATGTTACTTCGGGGAAGTAACACAGCTGAGGCGCGGCGATCCGCTCTGCCACGCAAATCAGCCAAGCAGATACAGGTGAGTGCAGCGCAGGAGTGGGCAGGCGGGCCCACATGATTGTTGGACCAAACCGGTTTGGAGCCAGCTGAGCATCAGAGCTAGGGGTTCGCCCAAACCGGGAGAACCCCACCCCTGGGGGCGATGTGTTTGTGTGTGTGTGTGTGTGTGTGTGTGTGTGTGTGTGCACGTTCTCTGTGCTCTCCCCCTCCCAAAGGAGCGGAGACTGACCAGTCTTAGGGGAACTCTGTGTGATGCACCAATGCTCAGCCCAGGTCCACATTTTCCTTTGTCTCTAGTGTGGCTGAACTGGCTCCCCAATACTTCCTGAGCAATTTGCCCCCCAGCGAGAGCCGGGACTTGCTGATGGAGCTGCGGGGGAAGCTGGCGGAGGACGCCCCCCTCCCGGATCAAGGGGAGAACCCCCAGACCCCCAAAGCGGCTGAGGATGCGGGAGATCCCTGTGTGCTGCAGTGACCCTGGCGGAAGAAGGGAAGATGGCTGAGTTCATGGCCGCTGCAGGCGCCCGGAGGCTTTGGAACTGCTGGGGGCTGCCCAGGTCTCCCCCAGGGCATGGCTGAGGCCATCTGCATGCCTGCTAGGCTCCTGGGTAGAAGAGAGGGCAGGGCAGGACAGGGGAGCCCCAAACGGGCTGTTTTCAGGACCGCATTTTAGCTGGGGAGGGAAGTAGGGGCTGCTTCCATGTGGGCAGAGACAGCCGGCTGTGGATCTCTTCTGGGGCCTGATGGCCTTTTGGGGGGGGGGCACTCAGAGAGAAAGGCATAAGACAGGTGGGCTGTCTTTGTTCACCTTGGCGATCTGCTCTTCAATTGGGTGCCTTGGCAAGCAGTGGGGTACCCCACTAGTCTGCTTTGGGGGGGCGGGTGCTGTAGATCCTGGAGACCCCCTAGATCCCTACCCACCCCAGATTCTCCAAAGGGATCCTTTCCCTTTTGAGCAGTTTGTAGAAGCGGAGGGTGGGGGCTTATACTTCCTCCTCCCTTGGTTTTAGCTTCAGCGGGGGTCCCTGCTGACTATCCAGAGTGTTTTGTGAACGGGGGAGGGGGGGAGCCTGGGGTACGGCTCTTGCCTTTTCTGTATGTGCCTCAAAAGTGTTCCATGTACCCCTCCCCCTGCCCGACTTGGGAACAGTGGGTATATGGAGAGTGTAGGGCAAAGGCCAGCAGGCTCTGTGGGGCCTGGCCTCCGTTGCCCTGCTGCTCTGTGGACAATCCTGCTTGTAGGAATTAAATTCTTTTAAACATCCATTGTGGGTCTGGTGTGGATTTGGGACTGGAGGGAGGGAGGCTGGTGGGCCATCAAAGTGCCAGATAGAAAGACAAAATATAGGTGGGGAATAGGAATGCATGCCCAAGAAAGGCATCCTTATCCACTCACGGTTATGATGAGGTTCTTCTTAATGTCCGATCCTTGGCATATCTGTCTTTATGGGTAAAAAGATGGTTATCGCTTTCATCCCATATCGTAGAGGCAGGGGGCAGAGCTGCTACCACGAGGCTGTGTGTTCAGGCAAGAGTGAAGAAACCTCCCCCAACCCACCAAGGGTCAATTCAGTGACCAATCAGGGTTACAGATGTGGCCACATGACATGGACTACATTTCCCAGGATACCTTAACTACATTTACCATGATGCATTCCCTTAAGGGGACAGCTCTCAATTCCTAAATATCCAAAATCCCATTAACTATAAACTGTCTAGACAGCACATGCCCCCCGCCCTACTCAGGACCAGTGGATATATGGAGAGTGTAGGGCAAAGGCCAGCAGGCTCTGTGGGGCCTGGCCTCCATTGCTCTGCTGCTCTGGATAATCCTGCTTGTAGGAATTAAATTCTTTTAAACATCCATTGTGGGTCTGGTGTGGATTTGGGACTGGAGGGTGGGGGGGCTGGTGGGCCACCAAAGTGCCAGATAGAAAGACAAAATATGGGCGGGGAGTAGAGATGCATGCCCAAGAAAGGCTCCTGGCTGGGAATTGGGCTATCGGTCGGGGACCGCCTGGGGCCCTGCGTGGGAATAACATCCGTGGGTCTGCTTGAAGAGGGCGGTAGAGTTTCCTGCGTGGTGGGGGGGGGTGGGGGGGGGGAGGGCTGGGTGCGAATTGAATGCCCAGGGCATGTAAGGACTCCATTCTGCCACACAGTCTGTCTGCAGCCATCTTGCGCTTGGCATTCCCCTGCTGGATCAGGTGAAGGGGAGGGACAGGGAACGGTGGCAGCTGCCCTCAGCCCCTCCTCCTCCCCTTTGACCCCCCCTGGCTGGGCAGGCCTGGGGCAGACAGCGCTTGTGACAGAGGCAGACCTGCTGGGAGGCCAAACCAGAGCTCGCTGGAGTCTGAACCTGGGCAGTCAGCGCCCTTCTGATGGGCTTCAAACATTTTAGCAAAGCGTTCTCTGCCCCGTTGCTGGGTGGGCGTGGCCATGGTGGGCGTGGCCTAGTCAGCCTCCTGCACCACGGGGAGTGGATTTTCACCCTCCCCGGGCTCCGGAGGCTTTCCTCAAGCCTCCAGGAGGGTGAAAATGGCCTCCCCTGGGCTCTGGAGGCTCTCTGGAAACAGGCCCGTTTCCGGCCTTCCCAAACTTCCAGGAGGCCTGCTTTTTTTTGCCCTCCCTGAACCTCTGTGCGCACCTTGCACTTACCTGTATCCAAAACGGGCCACATGGGGACCCCTGGGGGGGGGGGGGCAGGATTTGGGGGGGGGTTCTCTGAACTGCACAGAATCTTAGCTAGGGGCTCTCCCGAACCCCTGCAAACCCCCCAGCAGCCCAGCCCTGCTTCCGGGCCTTTGTTGACTAGGCTGCCCGGCGGGACAAAGACCTGCAGAAGCGCCCCACCCTCCTAGCCAGTCAGCATTGCTCCTGGGCCAGCACAAGCGAATGGGGCCACCTGATCGGTGAAGGCTGCCCTGTCCTGATCCAGCCCTTGGGCAGAACCCAGGCTGCCAAAGCGACTCTCACAGCACCCTCGAGAAGCCGGAGAGCCTCCGTCTCCTCGCAGGCCCCAGGTGGTGCCACCTGCCCTCAGGCAGTGCCAAGGGGAGAAGAGGCCCTCGGGCATGGGCGGTGGGGGGAGGGGCAGGATCTCGGCCTTCCTCCACTCGGGCTGCCTGGTGCTGCTGAGCTCAGCACTTCCTGGGCCAAATGACGCCCTCGGTCGTGGGCCACTGGAAGAGCCCCTGGCTGAGGAAACCCCAAGGCAGCCCTCACGGAGCCCTTATCTCCGGAGCTCTTATCTCTAAGGCCTGCTTTCCATGAGGCCGGGCTTCCTTGAGGGGGCGGATGAGAAACCACAGATAGGAGTCTACGTTCGTAAGCAGTTCGAGGAAGGCAGAGGGGGGCGGGTGTAAACAAAAAATAAAAAAGATCCCGTAAAAGATCACACGGGAAACTCCTTGTTCTTCACCAAACCCACCGAACCCCTCGTTTGGCTGAGGAGACGCTCCCTGTCCGGACCCATGGCCATTGGCCCCTGGGACCCCCTCCCTTGTTCTCTCTTGGCATCCAGAGGAGGGCAGCTGCAGAGGGGGCCCATGGGCCAATGGGTATTTAAGACTTGTGGACTTCAACTCCCAGAATTCCTCAGCCAGCATGACAGCCATGTTGTGGCCTCAAGCAGGGGGTCTCCAAACTTGGCCACCTTAAGACTTGTGGACTTCAACTCCCAGAATTCCCCAGACAGCTATGCTGGCTGAGGAATTCTGGGAGTTGAAGTCCACAAGTCTTCAAGTGGCCAAGTTTGGGGACCGTTGGCAACAGGGTGAGATGCCTCTTTTGGGTTAGGGGTCTGGTTGCAGCATAAAGATTTCAGAGGGTCAGGTGAATGCGATCCCCGCCCCCCCAAAAGGAAAGTTTCCTCTTGTGTTCTCTCTTCCGGGGCTGCCATAAGTCCTGTCTGCCTGATGACTGGCAGAAACGTGCCTCCTTTGTGCGCCCACATCCTGGGCCCTGCGGCTGCCTTCTGCTGGGCCAGCTGGACGTGTGGACCAAGAAACCCTCGGGGCCTCCCCTTCCCTAGCTTTGCTCCCAGGGGAGGCTTCGCGGTAGTTCTCCCATGGCTTCCGGTGCCTTTGTGTGGTGCCTCGAGGACCCCTGGCACCTTCCCTGGACCCCTGAGCAGAGCAAGGGAAGCAGCAGCCAGGGGATGGGCCTGGGGGCTGCAAAAAGGCAGTCAAGGCTACCCCAGGGAGGGAGGGAGGGAGGCTGGAATTTTTAAGGTGACACTAGGCCCTCAAAGCTTTGTAACTCCACTCTGCAAAGGGTAGGGACTTCCCCAACCCCACCATGGTTTTCTCTCCTGGCAGAAGGAGCCAAGAGCAGGGGGAATCCCAAGCAGGAGAGTTTGGCCCTGCAGACCACAGCGGCCCCACTGCCTGACCTTAGGAGTGGCTGGGGAAGGAGTCCGAAGCGAGAGGGCCTGCAGACACCCAAAGACTGCCGAAGTGGAGCTACCAAGAGCCTTGTCCGGCAGTAGCCAGTCAGCCGTTCCCCAGACAGGACTGGGGAGCCACAGGTTGACTTTGTCACCTCGCCTCACCTCCTTGCTCCTTGGTCTTGCTTCCTGCTTCATCTTCTGGCAGCTAAATTCCACAGGTGACCTCTGTGTGCAGGTGAAGTTATCCCTCCTTTTGGCTACTGGGTGATCCTCTTTAAGAGGCATGGAGCCTTACTTGCCCTCGCCGAGCGTATCTCCTTTTTCCCCCCAAATTTTGTTTCAAGTCACATTTCTTCCTACGGAGGAGCTTCTGTTCTTTGATGGCTTCTCTGACACAAACGACAGCCGACAGGTTCCCGAGGCTCTTCCGAACACATTCTTCCTACTTTTCACATCTTGGTAGAAATCTTCCAGCTCAGAATCCAGAACTCAGCTTAGCAAAGTGGTGGCATTGTATCTTTTTGGAGTTTCTTGTCTCCAATTTTTGGCTGAATAGAGACAAGCAGTCCAACACTACAAAGACTTCCATGCAAAGTTAATTTTATTGGATTATATCAGGCATCCTTAAAGTATAACTCACAGTTATGTTGAGATTCATCTAATGTCCAATCTTTGCCTCCATAGTTGCCTCAATAGTGTGAAAAGATGGTTATCTTCATCCCATAAGTGTTATATCAAGGAAGACTCCAGCATATGCTGGGGTCCAGGTGATAATGCCCAAAAATCTCTCTCAGCCCACCAGAAATCAATCCAGTGACCAATCAGGATTACAGATGTGACCACATGACATGAACTACATCTCCCAAGAGGCATGAACTACATTTCCCATGAAGCATTCCCTTAAGGGGACAGCTCTCATTCCCAAACTAACTATATACTGTCTAACCAGCACAAGGAGGCAGAACATCCTTTGATGGAGAACGCATCTCAGGTGGCTCCAGCTCTCTCACTTTCCCGCCTAGCATTCCTAGTCGCTTCGAGGCTTTGTTGAGTCTTCCAGTCTCTTTGTCAGCCGGACTTCTCTTGGAAAGGCCATCCAGCCAACCATTGTCTGCTCTGGCCCTCTGGGACCAGTTTCTCCTGAGGCTCATAGCTGCTCTTCCTCCAGGCCTCCTGAAGGCCCAGGGACCCTGAGCTCTTCTCCATGGCCTCCTCTGACTGGCTTTTGTCTTCTGGGTGCCGCTGTCTCCCTGTAAGCACCCCGTCTCCAAACTTCCCCACCTCCCATGATAGATGGCGGGGGGAGGTCAGGCCTGCCTCCCTCTCCTTACTTTCCCTGCCCAGAGAAGGGGACAATTGTCTGAACACTTGCAGCCTCCTTCTTCGGGGAAGGAAACAAACAGGCTCTGGAGGAAATTCCCTCTCCAGGCTGGGCTAACGTACCCACCACAAAGGACCTCTTGCCCCTGACCCTCCTGCCAGATTCCTGAGTGTTTCCTCAATGAATCCTTTGGAGAGCCTCGTCTTTCGATAAATCTGGTCTTCCTTCTTTTTCCTTTATTTAGAACTTTGAGCTTTAAGAATTCCTCCTCCAGTCACATTAGCTCAGGAATTCTGGGAGGTGAAGTCCACCAGTCTTAAACTTGCCAAGGTTGATTTGGAATAGGGGTCTCCAACCTTGGCAACTTTAAGCCTGGTGGACTTCAAGTCCCAGAATTCCGCAGTCAGCTGGCTGCACAATTCTGGGAGTTGAAGTCCGCCAGGCTTAAAGATGCCAAGGTTGGAGACCCCTGATTTAGAACGTATAAGGCCACCCAGCTCTACAGCCACTTGGGGCAACATACAATACAATCCAGTGGTGGGATTCCATTTTTTTTACTACCGGTTCTGTGGGCGTGGCTTAGTGGGTGTGGCAGGGGAAGGATACTTGTAAATCTCCAGTCAGAGGTGGCATTTGCCGGTTCTCCAAACTACTCAAAATTTCCGCTACCCGTTCCCCAGAACTGGTCAGAACCTGCTGAATGCCGCCTCTGATACAATCAGTCATTCAACCGCAAGCAAACCTCACTTCTTTCAGGTACCTACTCCAAAACTGTCTCCCGTGCAGGCCCCCAAGCCAGCTTTCCAGGTTCTATGGCTCCCAGCCATCTTGAGAAGAGGGGAAGTCGTGTTTGCCACTCGACCCACATCTCCACGGAGCCTCTGCAAGGCGGTTTCCTCTCACGGTGGCACGGTTGGGCCGCGTCCTCTCTTTTTTCTCATGGCTCTCTCATGCTTTTGCAGAAGTCAGGGAACAGCCTAGCCAGAACACCCAGAGGCTGCTTTCCAATGCTAGCAACAGCCTGCGCACCCGAGTTGAATCTCTCTGCTATTGCCCTGTCTTCCAGCTCATTCTGCTCTGCACCCTTAAGGTGGTTTTGGTTATCTTGGCTTGTTTGCTGATTCTGAGGGGGGGGGATGTCTGGAATCCCCAGGCTCAAGTCATAGACAGCAGCACCTAATTCTAGGGTGCTTTACAAATGAACAACTTCCTGTTGGAATTTCTCCTTACCTATCATGGCTGGTGTCTCATCGCTTTCAGGGGTGGTACTGAGGACAGCCTGTCTTAGCCTTACTCTGGAAACTCTGACTTGTTCTAGTGAGAATATTTTTTTTTCTATTACACCCCTGCAAACCAGAGTGAGTAAGATTCCTTCCCCAAAAAATAGCCTTCCTCTTTTTCGCCAGGTTCCAGCCTGTGGCATCTCAGGGGTTAGGCAGGACCAGTCTTGGCAACTCCATTGTGGGATGGCTGGTGGCCAAATCCTGTGACTTCCTTTCTGTGGCTGGGCTGTAGGTGCAGGGACAGCACCCACCCACCCACCCGGGGCTGCTAAAGATGTAACTCGAGGCCATCCTTGTTTCCAGCGAATGTCTTCATTAACCTTTGGGCTTAGCATCCTGCATAATGTGTGTGGCAGTCCAAGGAAAAACAGATACCAACCAATTTCCCTGGGATTCTGCTTTATCCGAGGCAGACCTGAGTCATCCATGTTTGTAGCCTGCTCAGGTGAGCCAAGGTTACCGAACAAAGATTTAAGGTTCAGAAAGGCAGCATAACTCTAGCTGGCCCAGCGTTTAGGTGGCCCCTTGTAAGCCTTCCTCCTACGTGTATCTTTCCGTCTCTGGCAGACTTTCGTGGCACCCTGGCGTGACTCTCTGGCCTGCAGCCTGACACAGCTTCTCCCAGCCTTTGCGCAAGGAATGGGGGCAAGGCAGCCATTCTGCCCCATGGATGTTTTGCCATCTCTCCTTTGACAGCAGAGTGGACCTTGGCAGGGAGGGGGTGGCTCAGAAGTAAAGCAGGAGGCACCTTGTTGCAGTTGTAACTGGGGACTCCCTCCTCCTCCCCCCCCCAAAAAAATTTATCCTTTCCAACTCTCACCTCTTCCTTGCAACAACCTGACCTTGTAGTTATGTGTTGGTCCAGGGTCTGGAGGGAGACCACAGAGGGTCCACCGGCTGCTGCCCCAAGAAGGAAAGGAGCATAGACATAATTTTTTCCCCATTTCATGGGCATTTGAAATTGAACAACTGTGAAGTCACCTGAAAGCTCACTGAAAGGAATGAAAATGCCTATTTTAGTGTCTTAGTGCAGGAGTTGCCAACCTTTTGGACCTCAGGGACTACCAAACTCATAATTTTAAATCCCGCAGACCAGAGACTCTGGGAAAAATCCCAAAAAATGTCTGCAGGAAAATCCCCCACCTCGTTTTCCTACCAATCGATCATTCTTTATTTGGGATCGCAGGATACCGTCTCCAGCTCCGCTCTCAGGGGGAGAGAGAGAGAGAGAGAGAGAGACTTTTGGCTTCATGCAAGGAAAGCAGCAGAAGTAGCAGAAGTCTTTCTTTCTCTCCCCCAAACTCCGCCAGAAACGAGTCTTTGTGAGACTTGCCACACCGGCGCAACCTCTTGGAGCAGGAGGCCTTGCAGGGTCCCCAAGACTCATTTGGAGTTTGGGGGAGAGAAAGAAAGACTTCTGCTGCTTTCCTTGCATGCAGCCAAAAGCAGAAGAAGAAAGAAGCGGAAAGGAGCAGCCCGGTGGCCAGGCCAGGCTTGTGGGGTGAGTGGGACAAGTTCCCCTCCCCACCCTTTCCCCCCTCCCCTCACTACCTCGTGTTGTTCGCAATGCAAGCGACACAAGCCTTGTGTTCCCACAGGACATGTGGGCAGCACAGCCTTGTGTTCCCGCGCAGCCTGGATTAATTGCTTTGGGGGGGACATTTCTCTGTGGACCACCAAAATTTTCTCGCGGACCACCAGTGGTCCCCGGCCCACTGTTTGGCGACCACTGTCTTAGTGGGCCTGCTTATTTCGCTGGCTGGAGGCCAGGGTCTGGGGCAGCTGAGGATCTGATCCATGGCTCTGAACCACTGAGCTTCCCCCTGTAGAACTGGGGCTGAAGCTCCTAAGGAAGACCAGACATGGGCACCACTGTTGGGAGGGATCTGCTGTGGTTGGACCAGTCGGGTTCTGCATGTAGCATCTTATTAACCTCTCCTGTGAGCTAAGTGGAAGAATTCAGCTGGGAGAGCTTCTCGTGCTCCAATGGAGAGCCTCCTGCCCACCCTGCGGGCAGATTCTCTCCACTTTCTCAATGGGGCCTCCCCCTTTGGTTGTGGACCCCAGATTCACAGTAGAGCCACAGGAAATGTTGCAAAAGGTCAGGGAGTCTTGGTGAACCATGCACTGAACACAAGCCAAACTGGTTATGCAGTTGCAGAAAAAGCCAACCCGGCTACATCAAGGGAAGCCGACTGCCAAGCTTATCAGAGATCATAGTTCCTTTTTTTATTCTGCACTGGTCAGATCACGCCTAGAATATTTTCACCAGATTCTGGGCATTGCATTTAGGAAAGACACAGACATGGAGGACCCAAAGAAGATCAGAGCCAGGAAAGAGCAGCCCACAAGGAACTCCTGGAGGCTGCGTGTTTACCCAGGCTTGGAGAAGAGCCGCAAATATCAGAAGAGGGACAGGTGGAAGGCAGGGCAGAGTCATTCCAGAAGGCACAACAAGAAAGAATGGAGCTAAATTGCAAAAAATGTTGGTTGGGTATCAGCAAAATTCTTTTAAGGGTCAGGTTCTCCAAGACTGGAAGACGTTGCCCTGGGAGTCTGTGGACGCTTCTTGGTTGGAGGTACGCCAAACATGGGGTGGAGGGAAGGGGGGCATCTGTCACTGTCACTGTACAGCGGGGGTCCCCAAACTTGGCAACTTTAAGACTTGTGGACTTCAACTCCCAGAATTCTCATGGCCAGCATAGCTATGGGGACCTCTGGTTTAGAGCAACTACATTGGCCTCCTTTTCTCGTGTGTCCTCCGCGCTTGGAGAGTGAACTTGAGGGCCCACACAAAGCGTGTCCACCCTCTGCTTTGGAAGCCATGGAACAACTACTGCAAAAGGCTCCCCCGGGAGCAAAGCTAGGGAAGGGGAGGAGGCCCTGAGGCTTTCTTGGCCTACATGTCCAGCTGGCCCAGCAGAAGGCAGCTGCAGGGCTCAGGATGTGAGTACATGAGGGAGGCACATTCCTGGCAGTCATCGGGCAGACAGGACTTATGGCAGTCCGGGAAGAGTGAGCACAGAAGAAACTTTCCTTTTGGGGGGGACAGGTCGCATTCAGCTGACCCTCCTACTCTTATGCTGCAGCCAGACCCCTAACTCAAAAGAGGCAGCTCACACCGTCTTACCCAAGCCCCACCCCCCAAACTTGGCAACTTTAAGACTTGTGGACTTCAACTCCCAGAATTCTCCAGCCTGCTATGCTATGCTATGCTATGCTATGCTATGCTATGCTATGCTATG